GCCCAGCCGCCGCCCAGACAGTCAAGAGTCGCTCACATACACAGAGAGACAGACGTCCGAGAACTCATCAGCAGTCAATCACCCCATGCATAACTTGCTCCCACCCTCTTGATACTAAATAAACAACTCGTCATGCCCGGATAATTTCTTCTTTTCCCTCGTCGACTCCTTGTTTGATCAAACACCAAACATTTGCCGACTCATCTGTCGTCATTGAATACAATCTGATAGAGCCAAACATCGATATCACTTGTTACGAGTCACACCCGCCCTCACGAGGACAGCCAACCAGGACCTCTGAAACGACGAGCTAAAGCCAAAAAGGCAACCGGCAACCAGAAATCGTTTGTTTTTTTCAACCATCCCAAACATCAACAAGAAAACAAGAGTCAGAGGGTCAACCACCAGAGTCAGTCCCCGCCCTAGAGCTAGAGGTAGTCTCTGCCGGACACAGCCCACTTGGAGCAGGAAAAAAATCCACCGTCGGGAACCGTGTCCTCGTTGACTCCTACCCAACGGTACCCCACCATTTTTGGTACCGCTCAGACGCAGAGAAGGGGAAAAAAAGTTGTGTGAGAGGACCCAGACCAGAGAGAGACAGTGGAGGCCAAGAGAGTCTGTCTCCTCTGTTCAAGCTTGGGCTTGGGAGAGACCCGCCTTGCTTTGGCTTTTGCTTTCTACACCCTTGTCTTGTTCACCTATCCACTTTCACCCATCCACATCCATACCCTCCCTCCCAGGCCAGAATCCCACCCCGGTCTCAGTCTCAGTGGGAAAAAAAAGAGAAGAGAGAAGCACCCCCGGTCCCCGGATCCGCCGCCACTTGGCCCGACAGACAGACAGCGACCTAGCCACTACCACGACCTTAGCTCCCAAAAAGACTACACCAGGCTAACCCAACTTGGCTGCTGTGTCACTGCCTCTATCAACCTCCACCTCCCGAGGCATCCCTCCAACTTTCTTGTTTTCCTTCTTCTTCTGTTTTTCTCCCCCCAACACCAAAACAAAACAACAACAACACCATAGACAGGAAACGCAGTCGTTCGTCTTTTACGACAACTTCGCAATCATAACGGCCTCGACCGTCCAGGCCGACATCATGTCGCCAAGGCTCAAGCCGCTGCTTCTTCCGCAGTTGGTAGAGGAGCGCCGCAAGTGGGAGGTACAACAAGTTAGCCCCGAAACCGACCTCTCCTACATCTACTACACAACAAACTCGTCCTCCTCCGACATCACCTCTCCAATCACCCCGACTTTCTCCCCTGGAAAGGGTCACTTTCGAATGTCGAGCTCGACTTCTTCTCTCGATCTGCCACCGCAATTGAACGACACTCCTGTATCGCCCACCCAATCGGTCCACACAAAACCCCCAATGCGGTCATTGCCCGATGTTCAAGAAGAGCCTTTAGAACCTGAACACACCACCACCATCACAGACAACACAGAGAGCAGCAACCGTTATAGTCTTGCCCCTTCGGATCAGTTTAGTCTCTACGACTGTTTGTGTATGTCTTGTCCGTCTGGCCAGGCTGTCGTATCTTCCGGGAAATCGTGCTTGGCCTGTCGTCTTCGTCTTGGTGATCGTCGAGTTACTAACCCATACCCTTCCCGTGTAGGCGACAACCTGTGTGAGCCCCGAAATAGTTCCGAAGATGTCATGTTCCATGGAGACATCGTCCGCGACTATGATATCGACTACGACATGGGTTTCTTGAGTGACGGTGACACCCCCGTGGACGAGCGATCCCGCAAGAAGCGATCCGGCAGCGAGTCACCCTTTGCTGGGCTAACGTCACGAATTGGTGCCCGTTTCCCTAGTCTCACACGCTGGAACCCCAACACCCGCAGGGGCAACCCGATGCTCTCACCTAGCACCGAACTCAGCTTGGAGAGCGTTGTGCTATCTGGAGGTCCTTCTAGTCGATCGTCGTCCATGTCTGCACCCAGCCGACCTGGACAGGAGCGCATGTTGGAAAACACTGGACTTCCCACCCCAGCAGTATCCTATTATGGCAGCACTGAGAGCATCAACCTTCCTGCGCCTATCGACATTGAGAAGGCGCAGGCCCTCGTCGAGCAAGCCGACCTCGAGCGAGAACGAGGACTGGCCACCACCCCTCTACTACCTCCTCTGATGACCAGCCCATTGAGCGGCCCACCGCCTGAGTCACCTTTACAATCACCAACCGTTGCGCCACCCTCTGCGACTACCGAAGTACCGTCACCGGTCCCTTCTGCGACACAGTTCCCTAGACCTTCTCTGAGCACAAAGCCTTCAGTGTCGTCGTTCCGATTTGGTTCCAACAGTCCTGAGGTTCCAATCCCTCTTCCTTCCATCCTGCAGGAGCACGATGAGTGGTCGGATCGCCTTGGTCACGCCAACTTCACCATTACACCGCAGCCTTATCAACCCGAGACTGTGAACATGGAGGCCCTCCAGCAGTTGCGCAACGACTGGGACGCAGCACGATGTAACTACACCAAGCACTTGGTGCGCACTGGCGAGAACTACGGCGAAACTAGCAAGATCTACGCTCTTACCGAGGCCAAATGGGCCGACATCGAGAGGCGATGGAGGTCAACACACGACGGACTCATGTCGGAGATTGTGCAAGCTACCAGCTCTGCTCCTGGTTCGACAAGCGCCTCACGAAGCCGCAGCCGTGGCCGCGGACGATCACGAGCCAATAGCGGCGGCTCTATCCTTGGTCGACCGCCTCCCATGGATGATGTCTTTGCGGGCATGCAATGGAAGCGCCTTGAGGATGGACTGCCCAGCGCAATTCCCCGACTGGTGGATGCGGATGGCAAGTTCCCTTCCCGAGGCGACGAAGACATTGTAGGACCCATGCAACGAGACGAGGTGATGCTACGGACGCACAGTGAAGAGCGCAAGGGAGCACGATTCTGGAAGAACCTCGCAGGCAAAGTCGGCCTGCGAAAATAATGGTCCCCTCCAGCAAACACGAACTGGACCACGGGATCAACGACCAAATTAATGACTGCCACGACGATGACGACTAGAGTAAACTAGAAGTCGTTGGATGATAAAGCCAGCTATCATGGGGTTGCTGGCGTTTCTACTTCTTTCATGTCCTATTTTGCACTATGTTTTACAGAGATACCCCGACTCATGTCATTCCTTTTCCATTTTCTGGGACATTGATCCCGATATAGCCACGACGGCAAAACATACGACCTTGGCCTTCTCCGTGGGGAGGAGGCTTGCACATTATTGTTTATTGTTTAGAAGTGTACATAATGGGAAGTGCGGGGCGTTGAACAGAGGGAAACCTGGATATCGAAAAGCAAAGCGAATCGAGAAGACGAAAAGTTTAGACGGGACCTGGAACTGGACCTGGGGTACAAAAACAAAGAACAGTGAGCAGAGCAGAGCAGGACAGGGCATGTACTGCAGCTCTGGCTTGCAGGAGTTGGATTTGCCTTTTTTACTTTTTACATTTTTGCTTTCCCCACCATGAAACTGGAGTGCACGACATTGGCAACCTGACGCACAAGGATGCAATGCACAAACACAAGACAGCACAGCACAAGGCAGCACAGCGCACATTACAAACATTTATCCCCGGATATTGCGGACGCAAGCAAGTAATGGGTTGATTTGATGGATTTGAAATCAAGGGAGAACATGTCACAAAGGGGGAGGGGGATGAGTGTGTACAATCATGTGCATGTATGTATCATGGAGGGATTGCATTACTATTTGGCGTATCTGGTTTGGAAACTGGCGGAGGGTGAGGGGACGATATTAATGGCTGTCAAAACTTGGACAGCTCTCCGGCCTTGGTAAATAAACCTTGGTGACGAGGAGATGAGTGAAGCAAAGCAAAGCAAAAAGAATAATAAAAAAGAATCAAAATAACCATCTTGCTTGCGTGCGTGTGCGTGTGTGTCTCAACTGTGACTGACAGCCCATGTCGTGGAATATGCCTTGGAGCTGTGGTCCAAACACGGGTCGTCCAAGCGAAGAGGCACAAACAATCCATCAATCGAATCGTCTCTTCTAGTTGGTAAGCACTCTACTCTAGACTGCATCTGAACATGTCGTGATACCACAGCGCGGCATGACGCGACCCTCCACAAGCGGCCCCCCTCTCTCAGCAAACACGAGTTTAGCCAAAAGAGAACACGGTTTTTTCAGCTTGTTTATTGGATAGTTCAGTTTGGAGTGATGACGACACTAGATGTCGTTTTTTAAATTCTAATCATTTATTTGCCAAAAAGAAGGTGGTTTGAACGCCAGAGTGGTACAGATGGGTTACGCAGAGGGGGGGTTTTTTGTTTCGTTTCATGGCGTCGGGGAAGGGAAGGATGAGCCGTGGTTTTGACAGCAGATCTGGTGTTTCACTATGATGCGGGTTTCCGTGAGGGGTTTTTTCAGGTTTGTATTTGTAGCAAGTATCTTTGTGGTGGTGGTGGTGAGGAGTGAGAGGTTGTGTGAGATAGAAACGGGTATGTGCATTCACAATCGGGGATGGATGTGTGCTTTATTTAGACCGTGGACGCGTGGAGGATGGGATGGGAAAGATCCTTGTTGGGAACTGAGAGGGTTTGACAACCTTTTTGGAGTTTGGGGTTGGGGGGTTGTGAGGATGAGGTTTGGGTTTGGTGATGCTTGGTAATGGCCATATTTTGTGGTGATGAAGTTTGGCGATGTTGGAGTTTGGAGGTGATGTGAATGATGTGGTGATAAGAGATTGTAGAGATGCTGCCTGGATGCAAACTGGCCTGGGAAAAGTATAAATAGGGCTCTTGAGAATGCTGAAGACTTTGGACTTTCTCAACTGTTCAACTCAACGGTATAGTAGAACACCTACATCTTGCTCACATCCATTCCCCTTTATATATTATATTATACTTCTCTGTCCGTTCTATTCTTTCACACAGGTCCCGGCCGTCGACGGCGGAAAGGTAAGCCTTGTCACAGGAAGACCTTTGTCTATGATAACTTATGCTAACCTGGTGATGGAATACTTCAGATGTCCTCTGATTACAGTAATGTCGCAGACTGTCAACCTGAGTCGCCTTCCACTGTCTTCTCACACATCTTCCTACCTTGTAAGTACATCTGGCTACTTCCCTGCTCTAGATACCAAATCTAACAGACCGACAGATGAACAAAGCCTGAGCATGCTTTATCTCATCATGTCTATGTTGGAGAACCTCCGTCCCATCCCGAAGGGCCTGACAAACCCTCTCAGCGCGGATCTCGCTCGCTTTGAGAAGCTCCCCAGCGACGTTATGAACAACACCCTTGTTCAACTCGACGTCAAGTCTTTCCGTAGCTTCCGCAATGTCAATGCGCAAGCTCACACTTCTACACGTAACACTTGCTAGTGAACCTCCAGGGAACTGAAAACGGAGAACCCAGCAGTAGGGAGGCTGCAGGACAACGATGCATTCTTTACTACCCAAGCCCTGGTGTATCAGTACGACATGCCTCGTACAGAGTTCAACATTGTTATATGTAAGTCTACAAAAGGCTTCAGCGGCGCGGACTAACAATTGGCTTCAGATATACCTTCCAACAAAATGCTATAAGAAATGGATACATTGTTGGTCTGGCCTTGCGCCTCATGCTTCACATGCAAGCACAGCCAGCATGACTTGTCTCCAAATTGTCATCTACTGGAAGAGATTTTCCAAAGAACCAGTAAATATTCTCACACAGGGGCCAAGAGTTCAACAGCAGTGTATTCTACCGTTGGTCTGGAACAGACTGCGAGGTGAGCTGGAAAAGACTCCTGCTTTCTTTATCTATATATAGCATTATACCGACAGCATGTTTGACAGGGGGGGTTCCACGAACTTTTGCATATGCGAAAGCCAAGCTATCTTTTGAGAAGAACATCCGATAAAGAATTAAAGCTGTTTCCCGAAGCATTCTACTAAACGCGACGACACGACGAGGCAAGCAACTCCTGGATACATCAGAATATACGGCAGCAGTAGCATTTATATACCTACCGCGCAACGAGAGTGCTACACGCAATATCCACAAGTTTTTTTATTCATTGAGAGAACTTATTCGACAACTTGCAGCCTTGTTCTTCAAGATGATGAGGAGCCAGAGACCAAAATGTCTTTTCTACCCGAAATGATCTTGCATTCAGTGTTGTGTGCGGATTATAACCCGCAACGTCCTTGGAACATAGAGGATCTACCTAGTGTAAAGCCTTCAGAAACATGACCTAAACGTCCATATCAAGTACCAAGTTGGCATCATGTTTCAAGAACGTCAAGACATGGCATAAGGTCTTGCGACACGCAGGAGAGGCTCCCTTAAAACCACAGATCTTGGAGGTTTTCTTCTCCATGTCTCCAAAGTGAGATCGCCGAAGCAGATAATATTCTCTTTGGGGGAGTTGCCCAACAAGATGGCAGGTTGACATAGGAGTACGTCGGCGCAGATGAACTTCACTCTCCCTCGGACTCCCAACCATGGGCAAGTCCCATGCCTCACAGAATAATGCTAGTGAGATGATTTTAGGAATCACTCAGTCACCGCAGACATCCATACCAAGATCTTCTCTATATAAATTCTCTCGTTCCCAGATGGTCCCAATAGTCTCGGATTACACATGTACATCCAGACCAAAGTGTACGACGACTGGGGTCAACACCATTTCGAAGCAGACAAGGCTGAGTGGAAGTATCGGGCTACCTGCTTCAAGACATTGGGTCTTGCGACACACCTGACACTCTCCAATTTAGAGATATCTTCTATTACTTCCCCTCCCAGTCTTTATATCTATAAACCGATGAATCAACCGGGCCATCTGTCAGAAAGCATATCCGAGCAGCGAGGAGAAGACCGAACTACGCGGGTCTTGGCTATCACAAGCAAGTCAAGAGCGTCGAAGCTGAAATGTATTATGGGACAAAACAAGGTCTCTTGAACACTCACCACTTCTACAGACGAAAGCGATGCTAAATTCAAGGCTAAAGGAAGAGGAAGCCCAGGCCAGCGAGATCCAGTTCAACATCAAGGGAGCTAATCTGGAAGAGTGCAAGGCAGTAGGATCAAGAATCTTCACCTCAGATGCCACGCCAGCCATGTTGTCCTCAACGAAGCACATTCCCTAAGAATGTGAAGTCATCACCGACTCATCTTATCCCAGAATGCCGCGTCTATACTGAAGATATCACTGTCCTCGAAGGAGGAAGCTGTCGTCGCACCAGAAACCACCAACGGATCACAGGATCCTGATAACACAGATACAACTGTAGGATACGATGAGACCGTTGCTGGAGATGACGAGAGCGTGCTGCTAAAGAGGGCAGCGAGACCTCGCCAGAGCCAACTCATGTGATCCCTGGCTTCAGAAAGATAAAGAAAACTCCCAGGATCTCGATTAGGCTGCCTGCAGGGGTGAGTTCGTCAAGAAAAGTCACTATAAACTACCTCTTTCTTTGGCTTACTAGTTTTTAGTAGTCCTGCGATCAAACGCTGTACCACCGCTCCATGCAGACTCCAAGCCAGGCTTGGTAAAGTTCCAGGCTGACATCGACACACAAGCCATCTTCAATCCTGGCTTAATCCGTCCAGGCAAGAGTCCACGGACTGTATTCTACCGTTGTGATGGCTGGCTAGCTCAAGAACCAATGATCCCCCATCACCTTCAAAAGTCAAGAGGATTATATATTGGATGCCACCTTTAATATCCCCGATCTTGTTGTTGGTAACCAAGTCGTCAACGAAGAGTACCATCCTTGCCACAGAGTAAGTCTTATCTACTAAGAAAATTGCACTGCTAACACAAGATTCAGGCACATGAAGGTCAATTTAGAGCCTGGCTGCCCGTCCCGCAGACCTTAAGTCAAGCGGCCTCTCATACAATATATTGCCACCTCCTCGGTTCGTCCTCCATCAGGTGCACCTCAAGACTAGATCCTCATACAACTGTCCAGATCGACCATTGACTACTTAACATACACAACACGCTCGCCACCCACCCATAACAAGGCCAAGTCGGTCACAATGGGGAGCAACAGCATAATTTCAACTATATGATATAACAGTGAAAAATGAAAGGGAGGCAAATGCCGAGAATGTCGCGTAGCCAGGGGCAACACTCAGCTCCGGCGTTGATCATATAAGGGAATAGCACGATGCCACTCTGGTAGAATTTGATCTAAACCTCAAAACACTTCAGAATTTCCGCTGGGGTCTGGTCATCCTTGACGAGTCCCAGTACTGTCAGAGGGAGGCTGGAGCCTACATCAACATGCTCAAGCTGATCTCGACAGAGAGATATTTATTCGTCACCGGCACACCGATTGTCGGTAGCTAACGAGACCTGCTAGCCCCGTTGTCGCTGGTCGGTTGGGGTTAGGGAGACCTTCCCGCCGCTTAACTTGACGATATCATCAAACTTCTCAGCGCCTTGCAACAAGATTTATATATCCCTCCATGCCCACGTTGTATAGTTGCCAGGCATGAACCGAGAACGGATCTCGATTATGTCTCCGTTTCGCTACGACCCGCCTGCATAGATGGCCAGCTAGCCACTGCAAGGAGTACGTGGATGAAAGGCTTCAAGTACCAAACGAGATCAAAGCTTGAGGGAACATACTATCTTAGGATATTGAGAGCCCCGAATTGGACAGAAAATGACACTGGAGCTAGCAAAATTGCTTCCTCTATGCGACCACGGCGGAGACGAAGGCGTTGACAGCCACAACAGTCAAAAAGCACAATCTTCAATTCATGTTCTCAGGCTCAGTGAGAATCTCTTGCCAAAGTCAAGATATATAGTGTCACTACACCAGGTCATATTGGGCCAGCTCTCTGGTGTCGAGAGCCCAGGCTTCGGCGTCAGCCCAAAGCACTGGACCAAGCAGCATTTCGCTATCTCAGGCTTCTACCTATATGAGATCCAATGCAACGATGCAGCTGCCGCTGCAGGTTTCGAAACACAAGTTGTGAAGCGCCACCTATGAAGCTCAGGACTCTTTCCTAAGCCACGGAATCCGAGCAGACACACGAACACCATGGACCTTCGCAAATGAATGGGATTACCTAAGTGATCCCGAGGACGCCTCATAATATTCTCCTGCTGATGCACGATTCTCGCCGCCCAACATCGGCTTCTACAGGTACAGCCGCCCAGACAGATTCGTCCCCGAGGACACATCTTTAGAGAACCTTTATCACCCACAAATCGGTGTCTTCTTCAACAACTCCTTAGATTTCAATGGCGGATATACTATACATACGGTGAGAGGAAAAAGACATGTCCCGGCAATGGGTCACCTAAGAGCAAGGCGAACCAAGACTGGCCTCCCCTAGGTCTTATATATAACGACACATGAACTTCCACTCACTTGCGAAAAGCCCTCACTTGGTGACTTTCCCCGTCTGTCATAATCTACTCAGACGTGCACCACCTGACTGGTCCTGAGAAGAGCTCACGAACCAGCTCGAGATGACTGAAGACCTTGAGGCTGCAAAGTCAGAACTTTCCAATGCAATGCAAGGCTCAAAGGGGAAAATCAGAGAACGTCAGAGAGTCAATTGATTCTCCCCCTATCCAGTTATAATGGTAGTCAATCATAGCATTTACAAAGACAATCTATCCTATCTCGTCTCGACAGACTGTGGCTGTGGACTGGCTTCCTCAACATGGCGCTGATCCGGATAAGACGCTCGAGGAGGGTGTTCTGATGAGTATGCGGCGCTTGCTCTGGCGTTTCATCGCGGTTATGGGCTTCAGGAGCGGTATGGATGACATCCAGACACTATATATACCCACGGCCAGCCCTTCGACACATGATGGACTGTCGAAGATGCAACTTGACGTCCCGGACATCAAAGGATGATACATGGGTTGCGGTCTTGCTGTCCAAGCCTAACTGAGTTGCATTAACACCACCTATTACATCTTCAAGGGGCCCCGAAGCAGTCCAAAGAAACTTACCACATCATTTCACACTTAGTACCAATTAATATTATCCAACATGACCACAAACAATCCAAACAACCAGCAGCACGAAATCGACTGCTTGATCCGCCACAGAGTGAACCGACAGAGAAAGGAAAGACGTGGTGATGGTGCTGCGAGTGATCGAGTGGCTCGCCGCAGCTCAGCGAAACGAAACCCGTCGTATCCAGCACAAGATCTGGACACTCCATCCGGAAGGAAAACACTTCCGAGCTCTAACCCAGAATTCTCGGATCAAGGTGGCATATATATAACGTATTCCCATAGTCGCAAGACTTCTTGATGAGGCCAAGATTTGGCGGAAACCTTCAGCTCGTTCTTCCAGTAGCACCTCATGATATTCAACCGCAACGTGGGAGGATGTTTCTTTTCATATTCATAGTATACAGACCATGTACAGCGACGATATAGAACCTAAATCTGCCGGTGTTTGGTTCTTGCCTTTTTATCAAGCCCTTCAATCAGAAATTTCTGGACATGGAGAGCTGATCAACACAGCTTCAGTTCCAATGGGCTTGGCTATCATTATAGCTTCCTATATAACTAACCCGGGATGAGCCAAAACATCCAAATTGGAAAAAGTGTGGTCTACCTGGCCTGATACAAGATCGCTCTTAGGGCTTGAGAAACAAGCCATTGGGCGCGCTGATCGAATGCCACAGACCAAAGACCGAGATCGATATGACGGACACGGAGTCCCCAGATGAAGACCCCCGAGCTCCTCGAGCTTGCGAGCAGGGACTCGACAGCGTCGACAGTAGTGGCAGCTGAAATTGCCAGATAATTTCAGCTTGACCGGCTGCTGTCGGACGTCGACCCTGTCTCCAACATACCTCTTGCGGAGATTCTATCGAGATATGAGGTTGGGGCGGACTTCCGCCTGTACGACGACGAGTTCGTCCAGCCGCTCCGCTTACACCAACTCTACGGTAAGTTATTTAGTGATCATTTTATCCCGCCTGAGATTAACTATCCTGGGATCTCGTCCTTGCCTGGATCAGATTATTCTTAATTTCCTCCCATCGATTCCTTCTCATCACTCCCCCGCGCCAAGTCATTCACTACGACACCCGAAAATAAGACACGGCTGCAATCGAAAGCATCTATTATCGCGAGCATGGGATACCAGCATGCCAGCTTCTAATCCTTACTATGCCCCCCGTGGCTTTGCTGCGGTCAAGAATGTCATGGAATGGTGGGTGACGTCTGCCATCAAATGCACCAGCTGATGGTGCAAAGACTCAACCTTCGTCGCAAGATCGACAGATTGGATTTGCAGATGGAGTCTGCACGCCTGGCCGAAATTATGTATCCACACATAATTCCGGCCGAGGTTCTGGAAGAAGTGGAAGAGGAGGAGATGCGTGCAAACGGTCTGGTCGACAAGGTGCCACTAGAAGCACAGGAAAAGAAGCTTGGCTCATCAAGAGCAAGGAGATTATCACTCGAGATCTATCGAACCTTAAGCGATAGAATGCTCTCAAGGCTGACGTCGTCAGTCTTTACACAGCCAGTTCATACGGCCCGGAGATTGGAGAAATGAATGTGTATATGCTCTTCACCTGCCCAAAACCAAGAACTTATCTGCCTTACGAGGGGCTAACGATACTTTGAGACCCCGTTGGCTCAAATATAACTGATCAACATCACATCAGCAGCGTTCAACGGAATACGTCAACGACAGTTCAGTAGTACCAACGCTGTACATGGCTTCAACTTCTCAGCAAAATTTGGCCATTCTTATCGTGCACCGTCGCAAGAAGCCTTGTACACCATCCCTCTGAACCGTAACACCAAGGATGAGTTTACCGCTCAAGCCATAGCTGAATGTCTCTTTACCAACAGGTCCAAATCTCCCGCTCAAGTTCCAATTCTGGCAGAATGCCAGAACCATCGAAATAAAGCATGAGGATGATTTGAGGCGGAGCGGGCCATTCGCAAGAACTTCTGTCAGGGTCAGATTTGGGTTAGTAGATACTGTGTGCAACCTCATAGCCGACCTCCCTACCGTTGGGTTGTCAAAAGTATATCCACACACTCCCCCACGCAAAGATCTAAACAAAAGCATATCGACTCTTTCTTTGCGCGTAAGTGAGAATCTTCAGCCGTCTACTGTGGAACAGCACTAATTAAATTAGTTATCACAGAAATACCTGACTATCCTAACCCCCTCTTTGCCGAGATGAAGAACTTCGACGACATTAGTCATTATACTTTTTTCCAAGACACATCTTCATTAACAGCATCGTGAGACCTGCAGCCCTAGTCGCGTCACTCAAATTCGACATTGGTGTTATACGGGATTGTGTTTTAGATCCGGATATGAAGGATCAGCTGTAGGCCAGCTTCGAATACAGTGACATTTGTCCATAAGGTAAAACATACTTACGCGTGATGGTCGCAATGCGTGAGGAACCTGATTTTTTCGGGACCCAAATTTCGTCACATCTCCTTTTTCTTGGATGCTAAGAAGCATTACAATCAGCGCAAGGTCTTTTCCTGTCCGAAGAGACAGAGGCCGAAAAGTCTTCCTGACCGCCGCCGAAGAGACCACAAACGACTTCTGGTCAAGATTCACACGTGTACTATCACATTTTGGAGTTCTTGATGCTCAGTATGGAGAAAACATATATTATATCACCAACAAGTCTCCAGCGAAGCTTGTTACTGCTCAGAGCTCAACCAAGAGAATCACTACTCCCAAAGCAGACAAGACCGACTCATAGGACCAAGGGGCAGACGTCAGGACATATTCGTCAAGTGATGAGTGCAAAATACGAAAGGACTACCTCTTTGAGCACACCGCAGTATCTCCACGACGGTGAACGTCATGTCCGCCTGACTAATGCGGATATGAACAACTTGAAGCGATGCCCATCAGCTTGTGGCCCCAGGCATGTTCAGGAGCAGTGGCAGGCTGCGCTTCGACCTGGAGCATCCTAGAGGAGTCCCACGATGGTGATCCAGACAGTGTTGAGATAAAAAAGATCATTCACACTCAGAGAAGGGTTTAAATTCTTGCCCTTCCTATACCTATCCAAATATATATACATATATAGCACCGTCTCCTCTCCCCAAGAGATATCCGATGGTTCTAAAGACTGAGAACTCTGATGACGTTCAGATCATCAGTCAGCCCAAGACTTCTCAGCAGCAGAGGCACAACCGACGCAGACCAGCCACTACATCCAGCAGTCCGACTCAGGAAGGGCCTCATCAACAGCGGTACAGCTTACACGAGACCAAGGCTACACTCTACAGCCTACAGGATGCTGAAGACTTCCACGTGCTCAGCAACTGCATCAACAAATCCAAGGCCTCGAAGCAGTGCTAGCTTGCATTCCTGAACGTCCCGTACACCAGAGAGGACGAGAAGGTTAAGAAGGGCAGCGGGGTTGTACGGAAGTAGGATGACATCCCCTAGCACTGCTCTGCCGTAGCCATCATCATGGTCAAGAAGGGCAGCTGGAAACCCGGTATCACCAAGCAGCTCCACGACATCCAATGATGTCCACCCACCTCGGATTTTGGGGATCCTTCTCTAGTATATAACTCTGGATGGTCTGTCGAGATCGCGATCCCGAAGAAGGCTAAACGTGAAGCCGGCGATCATGGCGAGGGAACACTTCCCGCTCCCTGGGAGGAAAGTAGGCCAGCTTTCGTTATCATGTCCAAGCCAAAAAGGTTCAGTTTTCTCCCCTCGCATGGTATGAAGTTGAGCCGATCATCCATCGGCTGGGAGACGACCCCTCGGCCGGTCTACCACTTCCCAACGGGCATCCGCAATTCATCGCCGCCAAAAAAGACGACAGTTGACGAAGCGGCGAGTGAGGCATCAGGGTCGATCCGTCAGGTCGGCAGTTATCAAAGTCCGTGACCCTCTACGCCCTAAACAAAATGGTCAAGGGTATTCGAGGCGTCCTAGTAGACGATCTCTTCTGGTTCCAGGAAGAGTTGGGCATCGAGACATCAGACTTCATGTGAGCCCTCTTCGACCAAGAGTGGCTTCAGTACCGGACTGCCGCTTGCGTTCACTTTCCTTATCTGAACACCTTAACAGGTGAACCAGAGAAAGGTCGCAGATGATGGCGACCAGACATTGATCATGAAGAAACACCCACTTGACAAGATGATGGCATTATACCTACCATCAAGCGTTACGGCTTCCCAGTCCTGAAATGGTTATATGTGATCAGGACATCATCTCCAGCGAACTTGGCCCCGATATTCTTAACATCATACTGATTAATAATGTCTCTATCATGAATAAAGACTTAGGCTTACCAATTAGATAGACATGAATAATAAAAGATTCCCATTTAACTATGGACTTTGTGACTGCTCACCCGTAGATACCTTCTCATCAAAAGTCCCAACACAATAACTTAATGCTTTCCTGCATAATGTTAAGAGACCAAGGCTCACAAGTAACAACCATAACAAGGAATGACTCTTCACAACAAGCAAGTCATTCGTTAAATCACATCTGGCAAATCACAAAGCAAGGCAATATCATGTGTGAATCAAGTCTTATTCTCGTACAATGGCCCATCCGGGGCATCTATGTTTTCCAGCCTCATCCCGAGGACTTTAAACCCCTGCACCGACCTGCGTCGTCCACCGAAAACAGGTCCCAAAAACTTCCAAAATGTGGTATCTTTGCGCAACCACCAACGCCTGGCAATGCATCATGCACTCGTGAAAAGACGTCGGGAGCCCTCCCTCCCGAACGCCGCCAAAAAAAGAAGTCGTCGTCGTCCTTGTTCTTGTTCTTGTGCACCAACTGGTGCCAGAGTCGTCGCCATGTCGAAAGCAAAAAATCGTCAAAACAAAAGCAAAGCCGCCAACCACCAAGGCAGCCGTCTCCATCTGTCGGGAGACTTCTGGGTGCTCAAACCCCAGAGCGTGCGCTGGAACGCGTCACGCGCTGGGGTTTGGCGGGTGTGCCGTTGGCCACCATGCCCAGATCCGCTGCCACCTTGGTGGCCCGCTTCGCCTTGAGCTTCGAAATGCCCGTCTGTCCTTGTGTGGCCTTGCCCTTGGCCCGCCCCTTCTTGGGCTCTTCTCCCTGCACCTTCTCCAGAGGCTGGTTCCACCCCACACGTCGACCACTGGTTGGTCTCTCCGACTCCTCACCATGGTCAGAGTTCTTCTCTGCCTCGTCCGCAATTCTAACGAGGACTTCGGCAGGGAACTCGGCCTTACCCATGTTCCGCTTGGTGTTGGCCCTCGTCTTGCGAGCCAACTCGTCCTCCTCGCTGCGAGCCTTCTTTGGGAGGCTGCGGCCAGCACCGGCTCGGCCGAGCTTGATGGGAGTAGGCAGCGACGACTTGGGAGCGCTGCTCGGGGTGTCCTGACTTCGGAGACGAGACGATCGGCGGGTGGCTGATGTGCTGCTGGCAAGCTCGTCAACCTGCTTGCCATTGGGAGCAGAGGAGGAGGTGGTGGTGGGGTTGGTAGTGGAGGAGGAGGCAGAGGGAAGATCCGTCATGTCGATGGCCAACTCTGCCTTCTGGCGCTTAGCCTTGGTCTTTCGAGAGACCTGACGGATCGACCTTGCCTCACTCGCCGCGTTGTCAATCTTGGACTTCTTCGCGGGAGATTCCTCGTCGTTATCACAATCCGCCTTGCGTTTAGCCTTCATGGGGCTACCCCTGTTAGGGCTTCGGGCTCCAAGAGGCTGGCGCTTGGCTGCTGGCGCGATTGGGGATCCTGCTTCGGTGGTGGTGACGGCAGGAATGATTTCTGCTGCGGGCGTGAGGGTAGTGGTGTTTGTGGCCGCGGCAGTTGAGGATTCGTTGGTGGTGGTGGTACCAGCAGTAGCGGTAGCGGTAGTTCGGCGATTCTGGTTGATGAATGCGCGCAAGTAATCCCGACCTGGGCTGTCCAGGTCTTGGCCACCATTATTGGCAGCAGGAGCGGCTTCTACCTCCTGGATAGGGGGAGCTGCTGGAGTCTCGACCTGCTGAGCAGGTGTTTCATCGTCCCGCTTAGTGGGTGTTTCTTCCATGACCAGTGTCTCGTCGCCATTATCGGCGACCGGCGTGGCGAATTTGGGTGTGTCAGGCCCCTGGGAGATGCCCATTGCGTTTCTTGTAGCACGCTTCAATGGGGTCATTTCACTCTGGCGGCGAGTAGCGCGTCGAATAGAAGAAGGTCGGTCGATTGATGTAGGCTCGCCGAAGACAAGAGTGTTATCGTGTTGAGGAAGTTCAGGTGTATCAAATTCACCGGGGGAGGAGCGGTCGATAACACCGACACCGTTGATATCAGGTGTCTTGAGGAGTGACTCGGTAGATTGAGGTTCGGGGGTCTGCATTACGCTGGGAGATGGGCTGGCAACGTCACCAAAGCTATTGAGATCAGGAGTCTGCGCAGTGGGGTTGACGGGTCGGGGTCTTGGTGTAGAAATGTCGACCGATGGAGAGAATGAGAGAGAATCGTTGAACCCTTGGCTTGCAGGGAACATGTGGGCATATCTGGCCGACACCTTAAATCGGACAAAGAGTCTACCATTTTCCTCAGTGACCACGACCTTAGCGTGGCCATCGCAGGCGTCGTCGGCCATGCGAGAAAGATTCTGGATGGGGGCAGGGGCAGGTGGTGATGAGATTTGGGTCCCGAAAATGTCGGGATTCTCCCGGACATCGATGTTTACAACACCTTCAGAAGAGATAGGAACTTTGGTGACAGGTGAGTCGGCAACAGTAGTGTGTGGCTGGATGGAACTATGTTGCTCGTCCTGACGGTTGGTGGGAGGTACGGTGGTTGAAGAATCCAGGTCTCGCAACCAAAGGTTCTCAGTGAGAACGCTGGCATGGCTCAAGTTGGACTCGCCTTCGGTAGGTTTGGCTGCCTCAATGGGACCAGCCTCGGTGGCAACACTCTCCTCCATAGGTGTGTCAAGAGGCAGAGTGTGCTCGGCCGCGCTTTCAGCTGCAGGCTCGTTGGAGGGGGAGGTAATAGAATCGAGAATAGAAGTCTCGTCGACTGCATCGATGGCAGCGGCCTTCGCAGGTGACTCATAAGTGATGTCGAATAGCGAGGCAATGGAAATATCATCATTGAAGATCGCTTCTTGTTGGTATTGGACCTTCTGAGGAGACGACGAGAGACGACGAGCTCGGGTGTCGAGGAACTTGCGGAGCAGAGGTTCGCTACGACGACGGCGCGCCTGGTTACCGGCCTTGATACGAATGGGCTCAGTGGGCTGAGGAGAAGAAAACATCCACGAGCTAGAGCCACCGAAAGAAGTTGTTTTCCCGAAGTCGAAAGTCTCACTAGGCTCAAGGACTTCAAGTGTGCAACCGTGTGGCTTGGGAGTAGAGGGAGGAAGGATGGCAGGAAGAAGAGCAGCAAGACCGATAGGACTGTCGGTCTGCTGAGGGGTGGCAGGAATGATGGGAGCACTCTGGGCAGCAGGAGTGGCGGGAGTTGAGGGCTCAGCCCGGTTCCACTGAGAGGGAGTGGGAGCGATGGGTCGCGAGTAGTTCATGACAGGCGACGACGACTTGTGAGGGGTCTCTGGGAGACCGGTATCTTCGAAATAAGATGAGTCGCACTCAGATGGCACTCGGAAAGTTCGGCCAGGGCGAGTGGGAGAGTCAGCGACGGACTCGGTGGACATGTTGTCCTTGATAACAGATCCATAGACAGGGCTAGAACGCTGGGCGAGAGGTGAGGAAGCACGCTTCGACTTGGCAGGAGAAGATTTTGACGGGGATGATTTCGAAGGGGACGACTTGGAAGGAGAACCATGGATGCGTTGGGCAAGCTTCGAAAGTCGGCGGACACTCTTCTTGATGGTGTCGCTAGTGATGAGACGACTAAGTCGCTTCGAGGGAGAAGGGGATCCAGGGAAGATAACAGACTCCTCAACAGGCTCCTGAACAACGGTGGGACTCTCTGGTTCCTCCTCGTCCAAGATAGTGGAGAGTTCGGGCTCACCGAGAGCAGCGAGGCGCTTTCGAGGATCCCGACGACTGTTTTGCAGTGCGGTAGTGACCTCTGAGATGGACGCGTCCCTCAGATTGACCGACTGTTTTCCTGATTCGTTGGCAGCCTGGATCTTACGAAGCACATCGTCGTACGTTAGAAGTCGGTTTCCTCTGGCGGGCACCAGGGAAATGGGGGAGCCGTCAATATCGACAACCTCGGTGCTGATGAGGCTAGCAACTCGCTTGAGCGGAACGATTTGTCGGATTCCTTGGCCGATAGCCTCGAGGTCTTCGCGTGTGTGACCAGAGTAAGTTTCGAGAAGGCCGTTCGCAACACCAACTAAATTACATGTCAGTCGAAATCCAGCACATTTTCAAGAAGTTGCTTACCCTTGGCTCTCATAAGATTGTGCATGTGCTGAGCATGCGAGAACATCAACAGATCCTCAAACACTGCTTCTCTAAGGCAAGGCTCAAAGGATTCTAGGCGTTGGACTTTGCGGGGAAGAGTCAGGTCGAAACCGAGCTCCTCACGAGTAGGGACAGGAATGGCGGAGACATTTGGGAAGATGACGAAGGGTGTGTCGGGCTGGAGGCTGTTGGAGACTGTGACTCGGCGCATGATCTGTCGGTTCGAGCTGGGAGCAGCAAGCGACTGTGTAGGAACCCGTTCCCACGCGGGCGGTCGGGTAAGTGGCTTCTTGAACGCAAAGGCGCCAAAATTGAGGAAGCTATAGAACCGTTAGTGAGGCTGTTTTGAGTTCAACGGTCGAGAAAACCTACGTCTTGCTTGCGTCGACACGGGTGTCGCCTGTGGTCGCGAAGTGCGGAATGAAGTCGGCAGCAACGGGTTTACTGCAAATAAAGTGTCAGTATTTCCAAGGGACGACACGATATCTTCACGATCAGGATAAATACTCACATTTGCATGGGCTCTTGCCCAAAGCCCCATTTGGGGACATCCGCAGCCGCCATCGCAAAGATGCAGCGCGGAAGAGAAGACTGAAGTAAACAAACCTCCCGCGGTACGGGGTAACGAAGCGAAGAGGATACGAAAAGTGTGAAAATATAGCTTTAGAAGCTGAAGGCTGTGATGGAAGTGTTTGCGAAATAGCAGTTGAGTTCGTGACGAGATCGTTGGTGAAGTCAAGTGCTGGTGCGCAAAGAAGTTGAGAGTTTGTTTTGTTTTGCGATTGAATTTCGATGTGGGCTGTGAAGACCGAGGCGCTTTGGGCTTAGAGCTAGACGCGTCTGTGGGCACCAGGTAATTGTGGGCCGTGAATGGTCACCGCTTTCAGGGTCCACTGCTGGCAGCTGGCGAGCATTGACGGCCTGTCAATAAGAAGCAAAAGTAAACAATTGAGACTTTCCTTGCTGTGAGGCCAACTATTCTCGTTGCTGTAGGCTATTGTTGTTCAATTGTTGATTCACTGGTGCTGATAACATTTACATTTGGTCCAAGTGATCGGTCATTGTCGAACCACAGACCACCACGATCTACCTCTAGTAAATGAGAGTGCCAAGGATCAATAGGGTCTAAAATGAGATTGATTTTACTCCATATTATTGCCAGTGTTCATTATTGGACGATGATTCCGCCATTATCATGTATCAAGTCTCCAAATGCCATCCAAGACGTTGGAACATGCTTAAAGATATAGATCAGAGTTAGACACTGATAAAGTCGAAAGACCAATCACATTTCATGAATGACACTAGAGTGCAGTATCGCCTTGCCCTGCAGGTTGGCTGTTGCAATCTAATCAACCTATCCAATACCGAGTAATAGCATGTCTCACCCGAGCCAGAAACGGTTCACGCGTTTGCTCAAGCCATAGGTTCGTTTCGAGTACCACAACCTGAACAATAGCATTAAATTGGCATCCGTGATCAAAATCCTGGGCTATAAGCGGGAACCAGCGGTTGTGCTAAACCAGGTCAGGGTCTTGTCTGTTTGACAGGAATGTTTGTTTACTTTCTGCGGGTCCTTCCACTGCAGAATGCGACTATTGCAACAGCCCACCAAGAATGGACTGAGTTAGACTTGGAAAATTACTGTATTATTGAAAGAGAATGCCTAGGTATTCTGAATACATATTTCCATAACTCATTCACTTAATATATCTCAAAATTGTGTCTCAACTCTGATTCTCGAATTTTCGTACTTTAGCTCTAGGGTAGTTCGATTTGAGTCTCAGATAAGGCGGGGTGTCCGTCCCGCCCCGCCCCTCGCTCCATGCCCACCCATTCATTTGAGCCGCGTGCGTAGTGAACGTCATCTCTCCAGGCCACCATTTCCGACCCTTACAATCACCACCTCCACGACACAGACCGCGCATCTGCCCTTTACAACCCACCACCATAGCCAAAACCATCTCTTCATTATTGGCCCCTACAAACATCAAGATGAACCGCTTCTTCGGCGCCAAGCCCGCGGGTCCCAAACCCACCCTCAACGGCGCCATAACCAACCTCGACACCCGCATATCCTCGCTCGACACCAAACTCAAAGCCCTCAACGCCGAACTCGGTGCCTACCAAGAGAAGCTATCCCGCATGCGCGAAGGCCCCGGCAAGCAAGCGATGAAGCAGAAAGCCCTCAAGGTGCTGCAGCGCCGCAAAGCGTATGAGGCGGAGAAGGACAAGCTCGAGAGCCAGGTGTGGAACATGGAGCAGGCGAGCAACATGCAGGACAACCTGAAGAACGTGATGACGCAGGTGGATGCGATGAAGACGACGAATAAGGAGCTGAAGAAGCAGTACGGCAAGATCGATATCGATAAGATTGAGAGGTTGCAGGATGAGATGGCGGATCTGATGGATGTGGGTAATGAGATTCAGGAGAGTTTGGCGAGGAGTTATGATATCCCTGAGGATGTGGAGGAGGATGAGCTGGATGCTGAGCTGGAGGCGTTGGGGATGGAGGTTGAGATGGAGCATGAGATGGGTGGTGCTGTGCCGGGTTTCCTGCAGGATGAGGTCGTGCCAGAGTTTGTGGACGAGCCTCCTCAGACTGAGGACAAGGTGAAGCAGGTTGCTGGTTAACAAACGGCGTTGCATATCATGGTGGAATTCTCGGAGATTTCTACCTGGATTTTACTTGTCACGGCGTTGGTTAGGTTCGTAGGGTCACCCAAGCACATCATTTCGCTCTTCATTATTGTCATGAATGCATTAAACTTGTATTTTCTACTTGAACAACATTGATCCTGAGTCCTCAAAGGTGTCTAGTACGCATTTGAACACACAAGGCATCCAACCGTACTGTCGCCAATGAAACTCCTGGATTATGCAGTTATTCTCGATAAAGACGCTGCCAGGCCCATACAATCCAACTCCCTCGCTCAAAAGAATGCTTTCTGATTTATACATTTATGGTTCAGAATTACAGATCTAATCGACTGTTGCAAAGAATCGAACAGCTTCTTCCAATGTGGGGTCCTTATTACAGAAATCCCATCCGACAATCGTTGGAGTTTGACTACAGCAAATAATTTTATGTGCGTCAAATTGTAGTTTGAAGACTCGTGCTGACGTATTCTCGGCCGCGGCGATATGAGGATGATGGCCTGCATGATGGCCATTATGAATTGGAGGTTGAGCTGGTTGTACAGGAGGCGCACCTTGTGCATGGTTATTAGCTTGAGGTTGCGCAGCTGGCCCTCCTGCAACGGGTACCGCATGAGGCGCTTGACCGGATCTCGGGTTGGTGCGGCCGCTGTCACTGGACATGTGAGAACTACCAGAACTCGACTGCTGTCGCATCGGCATTTGTCGAATTTGGAGGTTGGCCAAAGCATCCGTTACCACCCCTCTAAGCTGGGCTCGGATCAAAGGCGACGTTTCGCGTTCAATGGTTGTTTGTAGGTAGGAATGGTGAGCCAGCGCAATCGGGTATGTTGCAAGCGCATGTTGCAACGAGTTGGGCCCAAGGGGAACCGCCTGGTCAATCAGCACTTGGTATGAGTTTGCCGTTCGCTGGGTATCCCCGTGGTGATCGCGCAGCATCAAAGGCCCAAGAGGAGTGCCGCTCGTAGGCGATGATCGAGGCACGATTGTAGATGCATGTGAAGACCTACTAGCCAGAGATCCGGCTATCGCGACGTTCGATGTTGCGCTCGACAAACTGGCCGCAGCCTCACGCTGGGCAGCAGCTGCAGCCTCTTCTTGTCGGAGATGGATTGCGGGCTTCCAAACGCCTTCCTTGTCGCGTCGCCAGATAATAATGCTCTGATCGTAGGAACCAGATACAATGCGACCATACTTTCTGCCTCCACCACCTCCAGGGGGTACCTTGGCTCCATATGCCTGAACATCTTGAGGTCGAGAGCTTCCAGCATTTGCCCGACGGTCTCTCCTATGCCTCCTATCCATGGCATTATCAATCTCTCCAGCCTCAAGCGCGCGCATGTACTCAGCATCAACCGCCTTGGCTTCCGCCCAATCTTCCGCTGTGCTGTACGGCAGATCACCGAATCCCGCCTGGACTGTACGCACCAGGTGAGCGTGTCCTCGCAACTGAGCAACCTTAAGGCCAGTAGGTGCATCAAAAATGCAGACCTCCCAGTCACTGCTGCCACTTACAATCCTGCGCCCGTCAAATTCCACGCACGCGATTCCCTTGTCGTGTGCTGGAATCGTCCGAGTACAGGCCTGATCTGGCCAACTCCATATCTTGATATGCCTGTCTCCCGATACTGAAACAATGGTCTCGTCACGAACTTGAATGGCGTTCACGGCAGCACTATGTCCATCCAGACGACCGATCATGGTGAATGGAGGCTTGACGGGAAGTTCCTGGGAAAGGTCCGGCTCATAACCATACCTTCGCAGGTGAACAGGCACTGGGCCGACCAGATCGCCACCGTTGTAGCCCAAATCGCCATGTCTCAACGGGCGCCTGTTGAAGATCTTGATTGTCTTATCCTTGGAAGATGTAACCAGAATTCGTTTATCAAAGCGCACATTGAGAACGGATTCGTGATGAGCTCTTGTTAGTTTCTGCACCAGCTCACCAGTCGAAAACTTCCAAATGAAGACGTTGGAGTCACTACTTCCAGAAACAAGGAGATCTTCTTCGGGGTCAGCATCGAACTGGAGACACAGGACAGAGCCCATGTGTCCCGTCAGAGGTGGTCGGACAAGTCGGCGGGTGCGAACATTCCAGATACGCATGGTCTGATCCCTGCTCCCGCTCACCAAGTAGTCTTTGTCAAACTGTAGAGCATAAACGCACTCCTGATGTCCTTCCTCGGGGAAATTGGGATGAGGAAATTGGAAAGTGGTGTATTTTCCAAGCTCCCAATTCGCCTCCAACTTCCGTCGCATACCGTACAGATAGCGCCAGTTGATACGATATCGCGATCGACCCACATCCCAGATATACAATGATGACGGTGGTAATGTGTTGGCGGCATCAGCCAGTGACATTGAAGCGAGAGAGGACTCGGTATCTTCGCTGGGTTCTTTACGCTTTCCCCTACTGTCGGATGATGACGAAAGTGTTCGATCCAAGCTCGTGTTTCTACTCGACAGACCATCAAGGTCCATCTCGCCCATGGGCACGATCGCAGGTCGACTCGACGAGAATGACGAAGAAGGGCTACCGAACATGCTTCCGCCGGCCAAGGTCTCGCTGGGGCCAGGTGTGCGGTCACGATCTGTCATCTCGAGGTCGTCATCCGAATTGACAACAGCACGAATCTTGTTGGGGTGGGCGTCCTGCATCGACTGGAGTCGATTGAGGTGACGAATCGAGTGGTCGAGGCCGTTGTTGACCTTAGTCTCGCAGGCTTCGATCTCGCTCATGATTGTCTTCCACCCTTCCATATAGTATAGACGCTCCCATAGTTTTCGGTCAAGTGCCAATTCGTACCAGGCACGGCATGTATGCGTGACGCTTACGAGGGAAACAGGATCGAGGAAACCTAGAATCTTAAGACAGATTTCAGCGGGGAGGTATTGAATAAAGTCAATGTAGAGTCTTGGATTCAATCGGTGGACGATCTCGGCGATGACGGACGTGGGCAAGTTGTCGAGTAACGCCATGGTCAGTTCTGTCAACAGTCAGCAGACAGGCTCCAACAATCCAATCAACACAACGTACCTGTTCTGACCTCGAGGGGCAGAAGCGACGAGTTCGCGACAAGCCATGTGCTCAAGTCGGAGGGAGAACGCAGCGTAGCAAGAGCGGTCGATAGAGCAGTCGATAACTCTTGATTGACAGTTGGTGTGAGAGGATCTTCGGAGTAACCCTCGTCGGGTTGATGTGCAGGTGAGAAGGGATCCATCGAGGACAAGGCCTCGTTCTTATTCGACATTGGGAACTTCGAGGCCTCGGGCCCCTGTTGATGTAGCAATTCGATCTTCAAGGGATGATCTGGCAGCAAGACAGTTGAGCGCGAGACAGCGGTCAGAGATGAAATGGGATGTGATGTGTATGCGTGGGCGGCGTAAGCCTGGCGGTTAAAAATGTTGAGATGATAGTGTCATAATAGGACGCGCACAGCAGGCAACAAGGAGACGTCGAGATGTCGTGACGCAATCGAGGGAAGGGACTTGAGTCGAGATGCTAATACAAGAAATAGTCTATCAGCCAAAACAAAGACTCGAACAAAGTTGGCGGATGATATGTGACCAAAACAAGCAAAGAGACGGAGGGAGGAATGGATAAAGATGGATAACCAAACATTCAAGGATGGTAATGGGCGGGATGGAGTGCTCGGGAAGATTAGAGAGACAGTGGAGGTGGAGGCTCCGAATCAAGGTCCAGGCCAACCTCAGGGGGCAAGAAAGCACCGGACCTTGGTGTAGGGTGCCAAAATAAACTTAGTAAAGAATCCCCTAAGTTTAGGCTAGATTTACCTAAGCATTTTTATCGCTTAGAGTCCCCGCTCAATCTGAGATTTGGCATTGGCTGGTTGCCCTGGAATGGCCTGGGCCTGCTTCGCTCTGCCGAGAGGGGACGGCAGCCAAAAAAGGGAACCCTTCCCAACTGGCTCTAGCGGTGGAGGAATGGCTGAGCGCTTATGCAACTGAAGCAGCCCTACAGAATTATTTGAAAAGATTCGTGAAAATGAGGCGACATTGAAACATCGTTTACACCGGTATCTGACTGACTCTAAAGGTCAAATGCTCTCCTACAGTCAAAATCTCTGCCAACGTGTTATCACCTCGTTATGCCGAATCTACAGGGTAGTCTAAACTGTATCTCGATTTACCCACTCATATGCGGGAGGCGTCGACGATAAGCTTCGGGTATGGGGGTCTAAACATCGACATCAACCTCAGCATCTGTCAGCATTACATCGCGCTCTCGATCGCCTTAATCAGGCGGCAGCCAGTATTCCTCGCAACTGAGCCGCTTCATTACTAAATGCAAGTCAATTAGGACCTTTTTGCAAACATTGAACAAAGAAAGTTACTACGTCTTTCTTCTTGTCGCGTGACCCACCCTGTGCTTTGCAACCTTGGCACATCATCATGATACGAGACAGACGAATTATAAGACGTGAAGAGTTACATTATTGATTGATTTGAAAACTTTAGCTCTTCGATTTGACCGATGCTCCTGTTTGTAGTGCTGGACTTCAGATTCCCACAGTCCTGGGAAACTACCTTAACTCAATACCCACCCGTCCGCCCTCTTTCATCTTCTGAATATACCTCCCGAGCTCCTCAGCCTTTCCATGTTTATTTTGCTTCTCGTATATATACATTAGTCTTCTTGTAGTTTGCAGTGTATGAGGATGGTTCTCCCCAGCTATCCTCTTCCGAATCTCTAGCACTTGCTCTGCTATCTCCTCAGCTTTCTCTAATTGTCCTAGACCCATATATACACAAGCCAAGTCTGCTTTGGAGGAAAAAGTTCTGGGGTGCTCTTCGCCAAACATTTTCATGTATGCGTTGTTAACCTGTATTGCAATCGCCTCTGCCTGACCCCAATCACTTTGTCGCATATATAAACATTGCAGGTAGGACATGATATTCAGCGTCGAAATATGCTCATCCCGAAAGAGATTCTTGCTTAATTCGAGAGCCTGTCCTATCAGCTGCTTGCTCTCTTCTAATCGCCCCAAGTGCATGTATGCAAGCCCCAGGTCCGCCATGCTTGTCTGCGTGGTGTCGTCCGCTTCACCCCACATCCTCTTTGATATTTCTAGCACTCGTTCAGCAAGCAAAGCAGACTTGTCCCACCGGCGTTGATTCTGATACACCCTCGACAGAAGAATCATACAGAACACAGTGGATCGATGCTCATCACCAAGAGCCACCCTTTTGGTATCAAGTAATTCTTCCAGGAGCTTTGAGGCTTGGCGATAGAGGCCCTGAGAATTTAGAACTCGCCCCAGGAGTTCCAAAGCATCGAGAGTTCGAATATCGTCACCCATCACTGTCTTCTGATAGCCTGCAACCGCTCTACGAATCATTTCTTCGGCGGATGTGTATCTCCCTTGTTGAACAAGAACGTTAGCCAGCATTACCAATATATGGAAGGTCTCAACATGCTCGGAGCCGAACAAGGTCTCTGCCACAGATAGTTCTGATCGTAGACGATCTTCATCAGCTTGTTTGTAGCGATACTGCTGCGGGGCTAATGTAGAAGTTGAGGGTGGATGAACAGGCCTTGTAGTTGATGGATCAGAAGCCGGGAGTTGAGCTGGAAGAGCTGGATAGATAGGCGCTGGACTCTGACCAATGAAAGTACTGCCACGACCTTGAATTATCCCTCGTACGGAGAGTGCGGGAGAAGATGCCATTGGACTTTGAGCAACTGGTGTGATGCCACCAGTGGAAAAGGTGAGACTCATTTCTGATAAGGCTGGGCTGTGGGCTAGGGAACCCCTCTCAGAAATGGTTCTGCAATCGACTGCGGATGGGGTAGCTTTGGTATCTCAAGTCAGCGGCATTGACTCTAGGACTTTGCAGTTCTGACTTACATGCTGCAGGACTCGGAGCATACAGGTCATTTCGTGGGACATTATTTCTGTCCATCCATCTGTCGATCTTACCTGCGTCAACCTCTCTACCTCTGACCGTGAAACGCAGCTTCCTTTTGTCAGTCTCGAGAATCTCCCTCTGCTGATGCTTTCTGGCGATAGCTGTCATCTCAGCCTTCTTTATATTCTTGTCTTTGCCCCATTTGGTTATACGGGTCTGGTACTGTCGAGGCCTGGCACATATCAGTAAGTCACGAGTCTGTCTCGATTCAAGGATGAAATCGTTTACTGGGCAGTGAAGCCGAATTCCTCCTCGATCATGCTTTTGACCTTCTCAAGTGACAACTTTTTCGTCTCATAGAGTTCGAGGATTCGGTCTTTGAATGGTTCAAAGTCTTCATCACGTAGAGTCGGGGCCTTTTTCTTCCTACTCTTTCGGGGAGGGCCCGCTGTAGGGGTAGACGTAACTTGGGCGGCCCCCGGATCACCCATGTTGTTAACAGAGGAGCCATCCTGAAGCCCTTGAATGAAGGAGTCAAAAGCAGGATCGAGTGGAGCATATAAATGGCTCTGGTCTGCGACAAATTGTCCACCAAGAGCCTGCTCGTGCGATGCTGGCATATCAAAACTTGGAGGTAGGTGGGTGTCAGGAAATGGTTGACCGAAATTGTGGAATTCACTGGAGAAACCGTTTGGAGTTGTGAACCAGGGATCCATGGTGAGTATTGGTGACACTTCGTAGCAACCTTGATAGCCGGCGAATCGACCGCTGCTGTTGAGAGAGACGCTGAATAGAAGATGGATAGAATGAACAGAGACTGGAAGAGCGAGAGCGGCGTAGTGAATAAATTTAAAGAAACAAAAAGGAGAAACGATGGCTCACATGGGGGGTCAACACGCAAGAGTCAGCCTCATCATATTTTACAAAACTACTATTTTGCGGTGAAGCAGGGGGGAAACAAAACAACAATTCTTGACATGGATGTACGCCACAAGACTCTCATCCAATCGTCGGGGAGAACAAAACTACTATTTTGTGCTGAGACATGGATACCATGCAAGCAACCAACAGCCACTAATAAACCCGTCACAGCTGTCCTAAGAAGAAAGGTTAGGACCTCTATTCTAAGTGATAAAAAAATTTGAGGCGGGTTTAGTGAGCCTTTGGATCAGTTTATTTTAGCACCCTCATTAAATGTCAGAAGTTTTCTTAACACGCCCAAACATGGTCCTCATGCAAGGAAGCCATATTCACTTGAGCAAATGCAAAACTACTATTCCTCTAAAATATTATTAAAAATGGCTACGCTTTCTTTGCCTCGTATCCGAATTCATTAGGATTGTCTTCACATTGTTTTGATTTATAAGCTCAAAGAACTTATTTATTTTGTCTCAGCAAATTCACGCGGAACCAAACCATCTCTAACAGCAATACAAGCAAGATCAATTGTGCCATGACTCAATCAAAGCTTCCTGCTGAAGTCGTCATTTCCGTCATATTCGGCATCCTCCAATTGATCGTGGGACTTGTTTCACTCTGGCAGCAGCACTACTTTCGTTGGGCCGCACGTAAGTCCTGTATCATTTCGAAGAAACCACAAAGAAGCTGACAAGGTAGGAACTCGCAGACGTGGAAGAACAAGAAACACTTTGTGAGGATTTGGATAAAGACGAAATCCTCAAGCCTTGTTCAAGTTCGGGTGTGGTAGTGTACGAACATGAGTTGAAGAATTCAAACTTAAATGGTGGGCACTGGTGACGGTAGGGCAGACAGTTTTCAGGACGATGGACGCTGGCATTACTTAACATCCAATACAGTATTTTTGCTATGTGATTATTTATCTGTCTCAAGTCATATTACTTCATGTAATCATACAAGCGTCTACCTTACTCCTCAGAAAATCAACGAAAAGTCTTCCAGGTCTAAGGGGAACTCCTCCAAAATCATATTCCAGTCCGGAACAGCAACCTCACTCCCACTCTGCATCCCCTGCATTTCCATCCGCTGACTCTCATTCCACTGTACACCTACACTCTCCCTCTCAACCTGCTGCATCAACAAGAACGCCCTCTCCCTCAACGTCGTGAGCACCGTCCACTTCAGCCCGTTCAGCGGCTTATTCTCACTCGTTTTGAAATTCTCATGCTGGAGCTCCACGGCCGCAAAACCTCTCTTGGCCAGTTCTCCGCGCGGACACACGCACAGGTGACGCAGGATGAAGAGCATTATATGGTATTGGGGATACGAGCGGGCGAGCCACTGGTATGCGCTGAGGTCGTCGTCTTGCCACATGCTGTTGGAGAGCTCGAGGAGCTCGACTGCTTCAGCGAGCTCGGCTTCTGTGGCCATTGGCGGTTGGTCATCGGGTGATCGGAGGATCTGCCATTGGCGACGGGAAACTACATCGACTTTGCAGAGAATCAAACGTGCAGTTCGGATTGTCATTCTTTGTTCTGGTATCACGGGGTTGCAGCGCCGCAGAATTCCTTCGACCTTATCGACGGCATCTTTGATGACTCGCCTCCGTACATCTTCGTCTGGTAAGCCATCCGCAGAGCAACTCATATGGAAGAGCTGAGCCCAGGCCTGCGATGATTGGTTGCAGCACAGCTGCAGCGTCATTCGCGTCCAATCCGGCCTTGAGGGTGGAAGCTCTTTCATCCCTGGGGAAATGTCGCTATCGTGCAAGTTTCGCGGTAGCTCAACACCGGGAACTGTAGTAGAGGCTGATGGATTCTGAAGTCCATAGTCCTCGGCGCCTCTTCCATCTCGTTCTTGGAAATACCACCATACTCGACGTCTCATTTCTGACTCAAAGGGTGATAGACCGAGCTTGCTGCCGTCTCTGTGCAAACCTATTGACTGTGCGGCTCGAAGCGCGAGGCCATTCATGATCCAGACAGCTCGACAAGAGTTGTGGGCCCGCATGGCGGCCTGCGTTGGGTCAGTGAATGTCTTTGATTTTCATCAACGAACTCACCCCATAAATAGCCATTGCCTGAAGAAGAGTGATTGTAGGATTCTCAAGGAAGTCTGCTTGGGCCATTGATTGCTCTAGACACATCCTGTACCGAACGAGAGCTTGCTTTTTGTCCTCACCAGTGATGTCGAGTGCCTCATTGGAGGTCGTGGCTGTGACAGAAGCGAAATAGATGGCGAAACAAAGAGCCAAGTTTTCGCTCGAGGCTTTGGTAGGGTCGCCTATGACCGTGTAGAGTGTTGTCTCGGCGGTGGGTATGTGAAGAACCTTGACGTATGGATCAACACTATCAATGAAGATTTTCCACAGTCGAGCAGCCACGCGTCTTTGAGGGTGATAAACGGCGGTAGACACTGATGCTATCCCAGCTGATAGCCATCCCATGGGGTTCAAGTGACAAGCTGGAGAGTTGAAATCATGAGGTGGCTCGTCCCTGGGCGTTGCCAAAGCCATTCGCACATCATCCTCCTGGACGAGTGTTAGCAATAATGTAAGACACACAGACTACTTGAACGCCTTTACCTGCTCGATGACCCGAGAGAAGAGGACTTCATTGACATAATGACTGCTTGTTCCTTTATTAAGCAACAGGCCCTCACGAGAACTACGTTCCTTAATCTGCAAACTTGCAGCTCTCTCGCTGGTCCCAGCATCTGTACTTGTGCTAGCCGGTGTAGGCACACTATTTGCAGACGCCACTGAACTTGCAGGCGCTGTCGGTTGGGGTGATACATCTTGTCCGGCCTGGAATGCTTCAATCACTTTCTCCATCTGCGAGATCCGACTTGCGACATCATTAATCGTCGTCTTCTTGGCCCGTCTTGCAGGCGGCCCCGCAGGTGGATACGAGCACTCGAAGCCAGACCGAACACACTGAGAGCAAGGGAAGTTCTTGTCACAGCGAACTTTTCGGCGATGACATACGGCACACGACCGATTCCGGGGCCGAGAAGTCATGGTGTAGTTTAGTAATACGGTGACCGAAAGAAGTGACAGGCCGAGTTGCTTATTATTTCACGGCGGACGAGATTTTCGGTCACTGTAGTTGAAATTCACCGGAGATTATCTCCGTGGCCGGGGTATTGATGCAACGGCCGAATGATGGAATGACGAGCATTGATTCGTTCAGCCTGATCTTATCAATATACTAGCGTCGGCTTCGGCGGCTGTGCGAGCTCCGAGACCGAAGCAGCGAATCAGAGGCTTCAGCTCGGCCGCAAGCAGTCAACCATCGTCGGCTTTTGGGACCCTCGCGTCGCGAAATCAACCCAAACGAACAAATGGCCGTGACTAATGTGTCCAAGAAGCCCCATAAGGCGTGCTACGGAGCTCCTTTAAGCTCAGATCTGCCATGCGTTTGCTGTTGTTTATATATCCCCATGCCCTTGCCTCGAAGCAACCTACAACTGCAACTGCAACCTTCGATCGGACAGCAGCATCTTCAAAATGGCAACCCAGGCTAATGTGTCGCCTCACAACTCGGAGCTCACGCTCCAGAACCAAGCCCAGAACCCTAACCAGAACGAGGCTGGTTACAACAACGAAAAGTCGGATCTGGAAGATGGTAGCACGCAGCCTGAGCCAGCTGGTCAAGGTCATGGCCATGGCCCGCCGCCACCTGATGGTGGTCTTGCAGCATGGCTTGTTGTTCTTGGCGCGTGGTGTACATCGTTCTGCAGTTTTGGTTGGATCAACAGTAAGTCTCATGTTGTGCTTCATGTGGCGCTGGCTAAGATATTCTAGGTGTCGGCGTTTTTCAGGAATACTACCAGAACGATCTTCTCAAGGGGTACTCGTCGAGCACCATTGCATGGATTCCCTCACTGCAAATCTTCTTCATCATGGCCATGGGTCCGATCATCGGCACGCTGTATGATAAATATGGGCCTCGATGGCTCATTCTTGGTGGAAGCTTGATGCATGTTTTCGGCATTATGATGACATCCATCAGTACCAAGTACTACCAGATTCTTCTGTCTCAAGGTGTATGCTCAGCCATTGGTGTCTCAGCCATCTTCCAGCCAGGTAAGTCTTGTCTACAATTTTCTTTCATCCCAGACCCTGACTAATGCATCTAGCCCTATCGACGATTCACGCATGGTTCTCCACCAACACAGGAGCTGCCTTTGGTATACTTGCAACTGGCTCCAGTATCGGGGGTGTCATCTTCCCCATCATGGTCAGCCACCTCATCAAGTCACAGGGATTCGGCTGGACCATGCGAATCTGTGCCTTTATGATGCTTGGTCTCCTCGTCATCGCCAACCTCACCGTCAGGTCGCTCCACCCGCCGAATCCTCAGAAGATCACCCGTGCCCAGCTGGCCAAGCCTTTCACCGAGCCCGAATTCATCCTTGTCACGCTCGGATTCTTCTTTTTTACCTATGGCATGTTCGTCCCCATCGACTACCTACCCCTTCAGGCACTTCATGCTGGAGTGGACGCGAACCTCGATCAGTATCTGATCCCTATCCTGAATGCTGCCAGTCTCTTTGGCCGTCTTGGTTCGGGAATTGTTGGTGATAAGATCGGCCGTTACAACGTCTTCATTGTTGTTGGCTCACTTTCCGCTCTTTGGATTCTTGCCCTTTGGATTCCTTGCAACACACAAGACGGCATTATTGCATTTGCCGCTTTGTTTGGTTTCTGCTCCGGTGCTTACATCTCCTTGATTGCACCTCTTGTTGCTCAGATCTCTCCTCTCCCGGAGATTGGATTCCGTACCGGCATAGTGTTGTGTCTCTCCTCCATCAGTGGACTTACCACCAACCCCATCAACGGTTCTATCCTTGATAAGCCAACTGGTTGGCTCGGAGTCAAGATCTTTGCCGGCGTATTCTGCGCGGTGGGAACTGCTTGCATCCTTGCTGCAAGAGTCCATCGTGTTGGATGGAAGATCACGGCTACCTTCTAAGACTACATTGGACTTTACTTGATTTCAGGGATATACCAGGATGTATCGCATTGTTTTTCAATAAAAATGAAAGCCGAGAGCTTTACATGTCACCACTCCACCGTACTAGACTTCTAATAATAGACAGATAGAAAATGATAATTTGATTACTTTCTGGACCGTTTGAGGAACCCAGATATTGAGGTATCAATGGATGACTGCGAGAAGGACTGGTAATAATATCCATTATAAGGAGCGATCTGACGCTTTGATTTCTTAGCTTACTTGAGGTGCTGCTGTTCATCTGACACTCAAACAACCGGATGAATATGCATGTTTAGGCTGCAAAAAGGCTGAGTAAGATACCTACTCACAACCCTGATAACTCCGAGGGAGATGACTCGTCGTCGGATTCAATCTTGACGCATGCCAAGACTGATCTGTGCATGTTTATATCCAGTCTCTAATAATAAATCTGCGCTGACAAGTGGATCAACGTTGTACCGTTCGTCTTCTAAATACTGACTGTTCCATTCAGCTTTGTAAACGCAATTGAACTCACATGAATACGTGTACACATCACTGAGCATATTATATAAAACTCCCCGACGCCATCTCCAAATTTATAATAAAATTCTCCATGAACCTCGGCTGCATATTGTTGGGACGCAGGATGTTTTGCTGGGACCGCTCCAATACCCAAAAGCAGCAATTCTTCCGCATAAACGTCCGACGGACTTTATACGCGGTCCCCAATAGAATCTGACAGGCCAAAAATCCATGTCAGCAATCGACACATTACTCGATCCTTTGAAACTAAAAAACTTAGTTTATTTTAAGGAGATATATAAAATGTCTTTGCCTCCCATGGATCTCTCCCTTGTCAATTCCTCGTCAGCACAACCGATACCTTTTATACAAAGTCTCAGTATAACATAGAAAATGTCGGGCAAAAAACTTCCTGAGCTTGCGGGCTTCAAAACCATCAACGCCAAACTTCTCGTCAGCGAGGAGACTTCAGAGAAAGTGCCTGCGGACCATCCAGCTGCTGTTGTCATCTATGGCTGGGGCGATGGACTTGCTAGACATGTCGGGAAATACGCCGAGGGCTATCGCGCTCTTTTCCCTCATTCCAAGATTCTTATCATCTTGAGCCCTATTTCCGACGCTATGTTCACGGGTCTTGAGACACGAACACGCGCCATGCAGCATGTTATCGACAACCTCGATGGACTTCTCGATGAAAAGACAGCGCCTATTCTTATTCACAGCATGTCCAACACGGGTGCTATCAGCTACGCCACTACGCTCAAGGCTTTCAGGGACAAGAATGGTAGGCAGATGCCTCATCAACTTCTTGTCCTTGACTCAACGCCCGGAAACCCCTTTTGGTCGTGGGAGAGACTAGGTCAATGGTCCCACGCCATGGCCCTCGGTACCGCCAAGTTCTTCCCCTGGCCTTTTGTCATCACCAAGGGCATCTGGGGCTTTGTCCTCACCTTGGACGTCGTTATCAAGAAGCTCACAGGTGGAGAGCCTTCTGGTGCTTTCGCACTGCGAGTTGTGGACGATACAAACTACGAGACACTAGACTCCAAGCGATTGTATCTCTACAGCAAGGAGGATCAGATTATTTCTCACATGGATATCGAGGGCTATATTGCTGAGTCTCAGCAGAGAGGCTATGAGACTCGACAGGAGCTGTTTGTGGATACTGACCATGTTGGACACATGCGTGAGCACCCTGAGCAGTACTGGAAGGCTATCTCGGAAGCCTGGAAGTGGAGTAATGACGAGTAAAAGGGTTATTGGGTTTGATTTTGTATGATTTGTTGTCATGACTAGCGTTGTTATACCACTAGAATAGATATTGGTAATTACAGTTTGAATATTTAACGTATTTTATAAGAAGAATTTTAATGCGTCTGGACCTTTTGGGGCTGGGAGCTTCACCAAGACCTATTGTCCATACAACATAGATTCAACTTGATTTGGATTTCTCAATGTGCTAGCTTGATATGTTTCATTGAGATATCATGAACTCGGAGTATCAACTAATGAATTTCTCAAAGCTCAACAGTAACCGTATACTCATTGAACAAACCCGGCGGGTTTCGATGGCCCGCAACCTCAGCCTTCTCGACCTCATCCCTGATCTTCTGCACATCCTCTGGAGAGAGCTGCACGTTTAGTGCCCCTAGATTCTCCTCCATATACTTAATCTTCTTCGTTCCGGGGATTGGGATAATATCCTCGCCCAAGGCCGATAGCCAGGCGAGCACCAACTGACCCGGCGTGCAGCCCTTCTCATCTGCAAGTGCCTTGAGACGTTCAACAAGAACTAGGTTCTTTGGAAAGTTCTCGGGGCTAAAGCGAGGCAACATGCGACGGAGGTCCTCAGGCGCAAAGTCATCACTGCTTTTGATCTGACCTGTCAAGAAGCCACGACCCAGAGGCGAGTACGCAAAGATGGTGATTCCAAGCTCCCGGCAAGTGGAGAGTATCTCTTCTTTTTCAATATCCAATGTGAAAGGACTGTATTCAACCTGAATGGCATCGACGGGGGCGACGGCGTAAGCTCGGCGGATGCTGCTGGCGGCGCATTCGGAGATGCCTATGGCTTTGATTTTGCCTTCTCTGATACACATATATCAGCATGGCCTAAGATCTGAGGGACTCTGGTTAGTGTAGCCTACTGCTTAGCCTTGACCATCAGCTCCATAGTCTTCTCAACGGGCACCTCGGTGTCAAGACGATGAGCATAGTAAAGATCAACATAATCAACACCCATCTTTTGCAAACTACCCTCGAGACACTCATTGAAGAATTCAGGACTGTTGTCAGCCCACCTAGTCCACGCCCCGTTTTCGTCGATTCCAGTTCTCAAGCCAAACTTTGTGGCAAGAAATATGTCAGCCCGACGCTCCGGGTGCAGCTTGAACCACTTTCCGAGCAGGACTTCGCTATCACCGTAGGCATTTGCTGTGTCCCAGTTCGTATAGCCGAGCTCCCAGGCGCGGTCCAGAACTGCTAGGCGTTTCTCATCATTGCTAAGGTTCGAGTGTCAGTACGGACGATATTCACATATGGTAGGGAGCTTACTCAATGGGTCCATAGACTGCACTCAGACCCATCAATCCGAAACCAAGAGCAGGTATCTGACGTCCTGTTCTGCTAAGAGGTTTAGTGGGCAGAGAGGCCGGAGGTGCCATGATGATTGAGGAGAATAATATGTGATCTGAGTTTGGAAAGGAGAGTAGGTGAGATGGCAAAATGAGATGCGAACCAGGTACCAGCCAGACTTTATATCTGCTCCTTCTTCCTATGTCTCCCTATTTCAATGTATGGAAGCTGTGCTTCTGGACATTGACTTGATTCCCCTCATCAAGTAACACATAACATGATCACTATCACCGGAAACTAACTCCGGATATGTGCAGTGCATAATGGTAGTCTGAGGAGGGGAGTTGCGTCTTAACTCCGAACAGGGAGCCTTAACTCCAGCACATAAGTAAGGACGTTGCCACGTCCAATACTGTCTGACCTAAGGAAAGCAAACTCCGCTTCGATCTCCGCTATACTTCCGCATAAGAGTGACAGGTGTCTCGTCGGGCTCATCCTTAGTGAGACCCTCCTTAGCCTTTTCGAAGGTCAAAACTTCTATATCTCGGAAACACCCATCACACTTTAGTAAAGAGTATAGATTAATGCTAACAGGGCCAATGCCCTGTAATTTTATTTTCGTTAGCTTTCATATCACAAGTGATTGGTTAAGATCACACAGAATCACTAAGTTCTCTGTGCTGACTTGGGTTGTCAGCCACGAGTCTCAGCTGCAAGTAACACATCTAGCTAACAATAAAATCACGCCAAGCATCATGAGTCTATCGGGATATCTGTCAGGCGACTGAAATCCTTTTGTGTTTGCGACGATGCTGCCACTCAGCAGGCCTGATATGCAGGCATGAGAGCTGAGATCTTGGGACGTCAATGTGGTTGCACAAGGTAAGTATGTATTTATACGTGGCACTACTGTCTTGACCTCTCTCTCTCTCTCATATATTCTAAAAGTGGTGTGTTAGCATAAATGTGTTTTTCTGATCGGTTCCTAATGATCTTCATGCATTCCAACTCGACCTCCCAACTCTTGAAAACATTGTAGTATTCTCACAGACCAAGTTATGCTGTGCTGACTTGACATGAATGAGCTGCAGCCATAGATGATATGATCTTCACAGACCCTTCCTATTGGTAGTAAATGGTGGTCATCATGAGACTATGCCCTCATCTAGCTTGACAATGTAACTTCCCTGAAATGATCCAGCTCCCGGACTCTTTTCATCCAAGCCAATCTTTTATCGTCTATCTTTCCCCCCCTCAACTACCTCAAAACGGTGCTTCACACAAGACACAGGTCTTGGGTGTCGCTGACGACACAAATGTTCCTATAATCTCGGCCACCGATAAAACTCTAGATCGTTATAGCCTTGAGGGGGCCGCTTAAGACTTTCTCTTGTGGAAGGCATAGATAAATATCAGGCATTCGTGCCATTCTCAACCCTGTCGAATTCTGACCAAGACGTGCATTGAGGTCCATTTAGAAAATAGTTCGGGAATCTTGCATTTAGGCATCCTTGAACTCACTTACTCTAGGCTTTAGCGCAGGAGGTAGTAAAGTACAGGGTCGTCAGGTTGAGAGCGAGGAAACGTTATAGGCACGTTATAGGCACGATCTTGAGGAGAAGAAAGAATCAAGTTACAGGCAAGTCCTACGGATCTCGCAGCATAAGTCAGTCATTATCTATGACACTCAGCGTCAGAACGAACGCGCCTGAGTGGCGCTCTGCCTAAAGGTATCACGGGAAAAGATTTTATCGTTGCTCTTTGTGGTTTGTTCAGCAACGGTGTTCTCAACCATTGTGTCGAGTTTACGGGATCTGAGGAAAACGATGAGCAGCATCCCTATTGATACTCGACTTACGGTATGTGGTTGAAATGCGACTTCTGGAAGGTCTCGCTAACAAGCCATTAGATCAGTAACATGACAACATAATGAGGCGCTCTGTCTGGATGTGTGATTCCTTGACCGTCATTTTGTTTCTACCGTGTGCTGACATTTGAAGTGTTTCCTATTGACACTACACTCGAACGCTGGCTGCGGTATAAAGCTACCGAAATAGCCATGTTTCCGGACCACTCAGCGAAGGAGCGCATCACACATGAACGAATCGATGAGCTTTGCGCCAGCCCACTGGCTGCTGACTTCGATGCTCTGTGTGCAAAGCAATTGTATCTCAATCTTGGTACTCTCTCTCCTTATGTCTCTGGTCCTGTTTCTGTCGAAATTACTATACCATTGCATGAGCTGGCACCTAAAAACATCAAGATCCAAGGCATATCATAAGTTCAAAGGCCCAATACGAGGTTAGCATGCTAAATTGGGCAGTTGTGAGCTGCACAAACTCTCGACACTCAGACATCCAAGCAGCAGCCGCCGTGTTCAAAGAGGCTGCAAAAGCCAATGGAGGTGTCGTTCCAAAGATCGTGGGTGGTGTTAAAATGTTCATCGCGGCAGCATCGTCACGCGAACAAGAGGCAGCTGAGGACTCTGGTGACTGGCAAGTACTACTTGATGCCGGTGCTGAGGCGCTTGTGTCAGACTCGGCACTGGGCTCCTTGAACCCGGAGATAGGTATCACTGCATCCAACTGTAACTTCAAGGGCAGAATGGGATCGCGCGAGGCGCTCGCCTATCTTGGAAGCCCGGAGGTTGTGGCAGCTAGCGCACTCAAGGGTATCATCTCCGGACCAGGTGCTTATAAAGTACCTGAGAATTGGGCTGTAGTTGACCATGGGTAGGGCAGTGGGCAACCTCGTAGCGTTGAGAGTGATTTTAATGATATGGTTCAGCAGTTAGACTCGTTCATTGGTAACGTTGAGTCAACGGAGACATCATCAAATGGTCCTGCGGTTGAGATCCTCCCAGGCTTCCCAGAGTCTGTTCGCGAAGAAATCGTTTTCATGGACATAGACAGTCAGGATACCGACCAGATCTATCCTAGATCGATGACCTATGAGAGCAATGTGTCCAAGGAAGCTATGGCAAACGCTTGCATGAAAGACTACGACCCGGATTTTCAGAAAGTTAGTCGGCCAAACGACATTCTCGTTTCTGGAAATGGCTTTGGCTGCGGTTCTTCTCGTGAGCAGGCTGCCACCGCTATCCTGGCCATCTCCATCCATTTTGTGGTTGCTGGTAACTTCAGCAATATTTTCTCCCAGCAACTCCATTAACCACGGCCTTATGGGACTCGAACTGCCACATCTTATTCAAGGCCTCCGTGCCGCTTTTCCTAAGGACGCAAAGAGGCCCATCCCTACGTTCAGAACTGGATGGACGCTCAAATGGGATGTGAAGAAGAGTATGGTTCAGGTTCAGGAAGGCGAAGGCGGAGAAGAGTCGGCAGAGAATGTTGGCGACATTCCGCCCAATGTGCAAGAAATCATAGCTCTTGGAGGTTTGCACGAGCGGTGTAGGCATGAATTGAAGAAGGCAAGTTAGGCTGAGGACCAAGTGTCCAGCCGTTGGGTCGGCGGTTCAGAGACCAGAAGGCAACCGAGACAGGAGCTCGAATAAATACTCAGATCGAGGGGAACACTAGGACAGGAGACACTAGACATGTTTCTGGCGCTGTATCTACAAATGTATTAGGACGAAGCGCGACAAGAGGTGAGTTGCTCCCTATCAAGTTGGACTCTGTTGTTCGGGACTTCGCATTCACATCCCATGTCACCAAGATTTGAGTGATACGATCGCAAACAACTAGAACTGGAAGCATACTCGATTCCACCACAAGGAGTCGAGGAGCTTATCATAAAAGTTTTCGAGAACGTGGATATCATAGGTTCTCCTGTTAAAAGACGAACACTATGAGCTCCTTGGTCCCGACACTGGATCGTTTGCCTTTCGCACTGGAGCCGGATCGCTCAGCCTGGATGGGAAGTGGCCGTAGCAATGTGGCGCAAAGTGCCTCTTTCTGATCGGCGAGGCGCTTTGCCTGCTTTTCGCAGACCTTCAAGACCTACTACGAGAGGGTTGCGGGCTAATAGTAGGAATCCACTGTCCATATTGCACATTCAGGATACTGCCAATTAGATATGGACGATAATTCCATGACGATCAGCTGAGCTTGGAGTGGATTCATATATGCATACTCCGTACCGGACTGGAGAAAGATGCCTAAGTCACAGCACATCTCAAGCGCATCGGTGACTCTAAAGATCGTAGCGTTTAGGAGACATGCTCCGCCGTTGCAAAGGCTTTCAACAGACTTTCACGTCAATTGCCGCCAGTTTGACTAATTAATGCCAAAGCCCCCCGATCTCATCTTGATACGCATCGTAAAATGGTGGAAATAGTGCGATTGCATCCATACTTCTTTACGAGCTGAGGAACCTCCTTGGCCTGGGGTAGAAGAACCCCCACGTCTATCCAATGTCGGCATGATCAATTCAAGACAAAAATGACGATCAATGCTCTTCCAGTGCAAAGAACCCCAACCCTCTCTTTGCTTTTTCTCAGTTATCGCAACTCTAGTGTTATATCGCTGAAGATTCTCTAACGAAAGAGGTTTAAGTGATCAGCTATTATGTTCGGCACAGAAGTGCCGTTTACAGCTGCCACAGCTGCAAGCGACCGGATCACATACGCGGTCTGTCTGTCCTGTGCTTTGTAAGTTCGAATAAGCTTAGTATATACTAGAACGTGGGCGACGTTGCGAGTAGCCAAGTCCGCAATCTGGGCATCCTCGGTTGGTTGTTGTGTAAGTGATCATCGGTCAATCAAGACAGCAGCATGTTGCTAATGACCCTACATACTCAGACCGCATGAGCCCAGACTTGGTGCAATTACAAGCAGTGTTTCTCCAGTAAAGTGACTCTTTACGCGACGCATGAATGAGCGACGGTCTCGGCCATCAATTGAACTCTAGCTGATAAAGATTATTGGACTAACCAATGCTTAGACAAGCTGACGCTGAGGAAGGCTGATTTAATTGGTGGTTCGACTGTCTGTACCATACGATGTCAAAGGCTTCATTTCAACTACGTCGGTCAAATGCGCGCCATGATTCCCATCATGATGAGAATGGCTGAGAACCATTAGGAGATCGACAGCATGCGATTCTGGGTTGAGTGATGATCGTAACCAATTCTGTGACCGATCCATCAACCCATATGACGCCGAGGAAGAGACCAATTATCCGGTCACCGAGCAATATAGTCTACAGCAGCAAGCCCCAACATGAGTCAGGAAGTCTGTGTCGGTTGTGAGAGCAGTAGATGTCTTTGTTCATTGTAGGGTAGGTGGGTTCAACAACAGGCATCTACTCGCAGGCTCGTCAAGAGCAGACTGAATAGGCATTCTTCAAGCACTGAGAGTGGCACAAAATCGTGTGTTTCAGTAGCTCTGGTCATTCGTTGCTGTCAATTATCCGGTGCTGATGCTTACTTCCAGATCAGACCTGAAAAAGTGCTCGATCGGCGTAATACTCCCCGCATCACGACGAAAGTCGCCGACGAGCTGACGGGCTACAGGAAATATGTATACGTTGCAGTGAATGATAATCCACTCCATGAACAGAAACAATCAGGGATATGTTGCACAAAAACTTTCACCTGAATCTACTGGTTTTATAGCCGCTCATCATGACCCGCACAGTCACACGAAACCAGGACAAGCTCTTCATCCCACCCGGAGGTATCGACTTCTCATCCCAAACAAACAAGCCGGGAGTCGTCGATATCTACTTGAGAGCCGGCGACGACACACCAGGCACAGGACTTCACTGGCACGAGACTCACACGGAGTACCTCCAAGTCGTCCAAGGCTATGCTCTTGTGACAGTCGGAAACCGCACAGCTGTCTTCTCAAAGGATGACGGGATCATCACCGTACCGCGGTACACAATCCACCAATACATGCGCGCAGACAAGACGGACGAAGGGAAAGCGGGAAAGGACGTTGATCTCGTTGTGAGGGAATGGACTGAGCCTGGCGATGGGGACAAAGAGGTCTTCTTTCGCAACATGATCAGCTTGATCATGGACAAGAAGGATGGCGCATTAGGTACAGTGGGAATGCTTCTCTCTGTCATGACAGTTTGCTGGTCTCATGATAACTATCCTGTCTTTTGGAAGGGACCAGAGGTCTTTGGGGAGGCTGTGCAACAAAGAGTGAGAAGGGCTGTGACATTCTCTTTGATGGGATGTCTGGTTCTCTTTGGCCGACTTGTCGGATGCAAGCCGCAATATCCAGAATATACACCATAGAAAGTTTATTCTCAACTCGGAATCTATACCCTTTGCGCAAACAGCCTCGAGTCTTCACTTGAAGTTTGCATATACCAGGTTAACAAACTCAACCCCGCGTTCAGAACCTTTCAAGATCATCCTAGCTTTCACGGCTCTCGACCTCGGCAAGGCATATCCATGTGCTATTGACAGCTTCACCCAGGCATTAGCGTGATCGACAGTGCCAAAAACAAACATCGTCAAGCCATAGCCCAAAGCTTATCGAAGCGCAAGAAAGCCACGAGAACCCACCCACAAGGCTGTAACATGGAGGAAGAGAAAATGTGGAGGCGCTCGAGTCTCTGAAACAAGAGCGCCGAGTTCTAATTCATCTTGGCACCCGACTTTGGACGGGAGTATTTCCACTTCTGGTTTCCGCATGAACACTATCCACATACAAAGTCGGGATGGCACCTTGTTTCAGGATCGACGAAGTGGAAAAGTCAAAATGGGTACATACATACAGTGGTAAAGTGTCACGGGAATAATACGAGATGGTCTTGATGTAGGCTGCCTATTGAGCTGAGGTTCAAGTTTCACAGCATTCGGGCGATGGCCGATACGATATGTGGAAAGAGATTTGCAAAATTCCAAGGTCTCGGATATTAAACAAGACGAGCACTGGATGACTACGGAGGAGAGGCGCTGATCATGGACAGAATGTGGTTAATCCCCGAGTGGTTTGTGGAAAGATCGTCGATAGTTGCAGCTGAGGCATAAACAGACATACAGTAGCGTACAAGCAGGTCGAGCCAAAAGCGGACAGTTCTATGTTTCAAGCTACGTTTTAGCCTCAATATCATTCTGGCCGATTCTAGCATTCTACAAGCAAGCCTTCTTTGTCCGATGTTCCTCGATTGGGCTTTTACATGATGCTTGACAGTGGGATTCTTCTGCACAGAAGCTTTGTTGCTGGCCTGTGCTTTGAGCTACGCGTTTCAGATTTGCATCAATGCATGTTCTTTGACTATTCCCGAATGGGGAGCGGAAATGCGTAGCAAACCAACAGAGAAACTGCCAAAAGCCGGCTTCGAAAGGTTCCATGAAACCTTCTCTAGAAGAAGCTAGCGAGCGCCTCCCCTGAGCTGGAGAGATTGAAGAGCCTTGGGACCCATGATGTCAGACAGGGGTGATTGGCAGTTGAAGTGTGTAGGATGCGTGCTTGCTTTTGCTTGGAGGGTTCATCGAGAGATTTGTGGTAAAATCTTATGATGAGAAGAAAATACTTCGGATAGCTGCGTTCCTTACCTGCAAAGATCTGCTGAGGAATATCTTGTCGTCAAATCCCATGATACAAGATAGCGGTGATTGGGTGTGTGAAAGTGTGACTAGCCGCCGTGCGTAGTGGGAACATGGCGCCGATTTTGAACTGTAGATTGAGCCCAGAGATAAGTCAAGTTGACGCGAACAAGATACAAGATAGATCTATCAGTGAATATCAGTCATGATTGCTGATAGCGTGTGTTGAAGCTTCTCCTCGGATGTGTCAAACTGATGCAGCTTCCTATATCGAAGTAGACAGGAAAAATGGGATGCCTGTACCGAGTAAGGTTCGAAAGCTTCCTTGCACATTCATGCAATGTCCTTCTGGAAGAGGAGGGGAACCACACCACCCGTTCTGGCGGATTCAGGGGCTTATCCATGTCAAGTCAATCGTCTTTCTCAAGACCCCTGCATCTTTCCTTGTCCCCTCTTTGGGCGTCAAGTCAAAATTCTTGCCATGTGACGGTGACAGCAATGCTTTTCCTTCTCTTCTGTTTTAGCTTGAATGCTGATAGCGATGGCAGGATGGCACTGCAGTATCGTGGAACCCCTGTTGATCCCTGAATCAGAGAGAGGACATGTGGGACTGGAAGTGGTTAGTGATAATGCTTGGTAACATTCTCCTGTTACCATTGGATTTTGGTGTTTTATTGGACCAGGTATCTTGTAGATCAGGGTCTTGGCTGAGCATCTCTCACCTGGAGCACGACTCATGTGCACATTGACCTCCTTCCAGAAGGCTTCTTTTCTTGTGCAAAGCCTAAGTATTAGTTGATGACTTGCTGATGACGATCAAAAAGGCCCGAGGAGGAAGAGTAAGTGCTTTGGGCTTAATTTGAAACATAATGGATAAGGATGGATGGAGATGTGCACCCGGGTAACACTTGTTAATGCCCAAAGAAATGCACGTCCCTCGAACTCATCGCACGGACTCCATCGGTTACAGTTGCGCCCTGTGGTACAGTGTCGACTGTGTCATATCGCGCACAGTCCCATTTACACAAGGGTCTGATCCCCTTTTTCCCCCTCCAGATCATGGGAGGTCTTTTTTTCTTGTACTCAAGCGATTGTGCTTCAACTGTCGTACGGAGAGAAACAGAGAGAGTATCACCTAACATGTAATCACTCGAGTCATAACTAGCCCATCAAATCATCTGCCCCGGAGTGATAATGTCAGCGCGTAGAGACCGATGAGATCCAATCCCTCCAGGTCCCGTCCACTGACTGGCTGCTCCAGCGCCAACCAGCCTCTGAAATGGCCACCCCCACTAAATCATAAATCACTAACTAGACCTCCACTAACAGCCCAGTAGCCTTAGGTACCGCTAAATTGCCAACCGCCCGTTTCCGTTCCGCCTCCTCTCCCCAGCTGCTGCTGTCCTGCACTCGCTGCCCGCTTTTGGTCTTCCCTCCTTTAAACGACTTTCTCCATCTGCCGTCCGCTTCAACCTTACCTTAAACCTACGCCCAGCCTCGTCGAAATCCTTCCTTTGACCAAAACTGCGGCAACAACGGTTTATTCTGGCTCTAATTTCATTCCTCTGCCCTCACCCAAAAAAGTCAAAAACTCACACATCGGAATACTTGGCCCGCCTGCCAGATCAGACAAGAATCTACTCCCATCGTTTCAAAACCTGTCCAGCTTCCATTTCGGCATCGTCGATCCGCTTCACTAAACCCCCCCTTCGATCGCTCCACCGCCTGACCCCCCGAGACCACCACCTCTACACTCTCGACCAGCCATCACCAGGCCCGCTGCCGATACTGTATACGTTCAAAGAGGGACACCCGCCACGATCAATTCTTTGTCGCTCCAACCTTCGAATCACTCCCTCAAACAGCCGCTTCGCTTCGACACTTCCTCCTCAACACCCCCTTACCCCGCCTGCCCTGTCTTGCAGCTGCGAAAACTCAACGTTTGAATCTCACGCTGATTCACCGCCGAATGACGTCGAACCGCTCGTTGAAACGTTCCTGAGTCCAACGCCAAGTGACATCCCTAGACATTTCACACCCAAGACAGTCCCCACGGCGCTTCCACTCGAACCGATCTCCCTCGACAACCTTTACCTCGCTGCAACGTCCCTCTCGCCCTCCCTGCTGTCGGCTTCGTCTCTCTATCTCACTCTCTCCCAAGTCGCTCCCTCTCGACGGATGGCGTAGAAGGCTATGGCCCATGCCCCGTTGCTACGAAATAATACAGCCCCGGTCTTTCAGCCAAACTCCAGCGGATTCAGTGGCTTCTCGCAGACCAGCATGAACCATGCGCCGCGCGCCAGTCAACTCTCGGGCTCGACAGCCTTTGCTGGCTCCTCGGCTTCGTTGAGTTCTCTGTCCACGGCTACGACCGCCACACCACAGAACGGCGGCCCCGTGCTAGCCACAGCGAATATCATTAATCAAAAAGCCGACGCTTCACGATCGCTTTACCAGATTTGTATTTCGCTCAAGCAGCGCTTGGCTCAGGTTCCTGGCTTTGACCCTTATCTGGATCAGCTGGACCCTAATGATCCTGTTGATCCTCTATGGAACCTATTCCGAAGAGGATACCCTTTACTACTAATTTACAATGCCCTGCGACCTAATGAAGAGCTCAAGGTCGAGGACCCTAGCGCTAATGAAGCTAAAAAGTCCAAGATCGCCATCTTCAAATTCGTCCAGGCCTGCATGAAAGACCTAGATATTCCATCTTCCCATAGTTTTGTGATAACTGACTTGATGGGCAACGATACCAGCGGCTTTGTAAAGGTTGGTAGATGCCGTCTATGATGTGTAGACTGAGCTAAAGTGATGAAATAGGTGACTCAAGTTGTTAATTACGTCTTGGATCGAGCAGAGGAACGCGGATATCTCCTTCAACCTTTACCAGAATCTGGGGATGGAAACAACGAGCCCACGGGCGGACAGATGACCTACCGAGACCACATCATCCGTGAACTTGTCGACACCGAGCGAAAATACGTCCAAGATCTCGAGAACCTGCACGACTTGAAGAAGACGCTCGATCAACAAGGCGAGATTCCTGGCGATACTCTCCATCAGATCTTCCTCAACATCAACGCCATTCTCGATTTCCAGCGCCGTTTTTTGATCCGAGTAGAGACAACAAACTCCATGTCCGCTGACGCCCAACGATGGGGGGCTCCCTTCATTATGTATGAGGATGCGTTCGACATTTACCAGCCTTTTATCGCCAACCAGCGTAAGGCGGCTATGGTTGCGAATCAGGTTTTCGACAAAATCCAACGCTCCTCACACCCCGTGGCAGCTGATTTCAACACCCTGGATGGTTTCCTGCTGAAGCCCATGCAGAGACTGGTGAAATATCCTCTGTTGCTCAAGGTAGGCTAGTTGCGCTTTTTCGATGTTCGATAGCTAATACATGGCAGGATTTGAACAAGAAGACCGAGGATGAGGAGGTCAAGTTGGATCTGACTAGTGGTTGCGAAGCCGCCGAGCGAGTGCTGAAGAAGGCTAACGAAGCCGTTAACCGCGACTTGCTTGATGAGGCTCTCGAGGACCTAACAAGCCGAGTTGAGGATTGGAAGAGCCACAAGGTGGAACAATTTGGCAAACTTCTCCTGCATGGCGTGTATGGTGTGATCACCGGAAAGACAGATCAAGAGAAGGATGTAAGTCTGCTGGCCAGATTCCAGGGGCCCGACACTAACCTTGAAAAGTACGAAATCTACCTTTTCGAGTCTATTCTCCTGTGTTGCAAGGAGATCTCATCAAGCAAGAGCAAGGATAAGAAGGATAAACTGCGGTCATCAGGCACCAAGACACGGAACAAGAGCGCCAAGCTTCAGTTGAAGGGCAGGATCTTCATGACTAATGTGACTGATATTGTGTCCTTCTCTAAGCCAGGTGAGTTATGAAACTCTGAGTAATCGACACAACTAACTCTCGGAAGGCAACCACAGTGTGCAGATATGGTGGAAGGGAGACCCCGGTGTTGAGAACTTTGTCATCAAGTTCTTGAACGAAGAGACTTTGAGGAAATGGGTGATGACTCTGGAGACCCAGAGGAAGCATAACGTGCCGCGCCAATCTTCGAACTCAGACTCGCTTTCAACCGACTTTGCCTGGACACGAGAGCATGGGGCAGGACTGGAGAATCCATACCTGCAGGAGGACGACGACGATGAAGACCTCGGACCAGCAACAGCACCTGCTGGGTACCATACTGGACCTCCCTCGGGCATCGTACCTCGAACAGCTTCAACCAGTAACCTTCGTGCTCGAGCCGGAACCGGAGAGAGCTCTGCTTCACTGGCCGGTATGGTGAGAGCGCCTCCGCCTCGCTTCCCTCTACCAGCGCCTCCCGCACCACTCAGCCTTCAGACAGCAGCAAATGGTGCCCACTCACCCGGCGCCTGGGCGGGTGATAGCTACTTCTCTCCTGTCGCCGAGTCACCAGCCTCATCAAGAACCAGCACAGCCAGTGGAATGTTTACAACACCTCACTATGGCCTCCCTAAGAGTGCCACTCCTCAGCCAACTTGGGAGGATGGTAACGGCAACCGATACACCGCACCCGCCATGCCACGTGCCCCCTCTCGCGACGGTCCGTCACCGAACCCTCATGGACGTAACCCTCGTGGACCTTCACTGCCAGCAATGGCCTCAAACAACCAGGCGGCTCTCGCTGCTCAACAGAGGAACCGCTCGTACAGCACTCCTGATATTAACGGACCAGGAATGCCACGCACACGACAGCCTAGCCACGGAAACATTCCAGCAGTCCCTGGCATCCCTCAACATCTGCATCCTGGCCACAACCCCAGTATTGGCCGAGAACAGACAGGTTCACCTAGAAATGAACAGCCAACTCGGGCCCAAACAAACAGCCCAGGCGCTCAACGAGAGCGCATGCACAAGCACACCGGCAGTGTGGGTGGCAGCATGAACCACTTCCCTTCACAACCAGTTCATCCACGATCAATGACACCCGGTGCTGGAGGAAATGCTCTTCGTGTTGACGCTGCTGCCGCCAACTCGCGAACAGTGTCCCCAGCTCTTGGTACAGCAACAATGCCACCTAACTCGAACCCTCTAAGCCCGGAAATGCCCCTCCCAACACAACTCAAGGTCCGAGTGAACTGTGAGGCAGGAAACTACGTCACCCTGGTCGTGGCTTTCAACATTACCTATCAGTCTCTTGTTGATCGCATCGATGCCAAGCTCGCCCGCTTCACTACTAGCAGTATCAGCAAGGGCCTGCTCAAGCTTCGATACCGCGACGAAGACGGTGACTTTGTCGCCATCGAAGGCGATGATGATATCCAGATCGCCTTCATGGAGTGGCGCGAAGGTGTCAGGAACATGTACTCTGGAGGCGTAGGAGAGATAGAGCTCTTCTGCGTCGGTGGCACTTCCTAGACACCCTCTCACAGGCGCACACTCGTTTGTCGATCGACACCCACCACCCGGAGAAGAGGCAGAAATGGTGCATTGTGCTTAGGATACCCACGGATCATTAACCGCATTTTTCGGCGCACGGAAAACAAAACATTCATACATTTACTTGAAGAAGCCATCCATGATCAAAGGCACGATAACGACCAAGGGCGTCTGGACGACTGGGCAAGGCCGATACATTCTCATATAGACGGCAAGCGAACTCGACTTTTCGAACACATCTCTTTTTTCTATCGTCACCATCTAACGAAAAAAACACCGCCTACTCAAGCCACTCATTCGTCTCATGGACATTATTTTTCTTGGGTTAAGACTTCTTTTTGGTTCGAGACAGCTTTTTTTCTTGCATAGAAATGACTCATTCGCATTGTATGCGTCCTTTCTATTGTAAGATGAAAAGCTGTTTTCTTTACTGGGATCATTCATCTTCAGTCACTTACAGCACAGTTTCATGGGATCCGGCGCTACTATTAAGATATGGGGGCGTTTATCATCATTCTCTTGATTTTCTTGTTCTTTGTCATTGAACCTCTTCTTTTTTTTTGTGTCTGTCTTCTCAAGATTCGGGTTTGTCGTTCCTTTTTTTGTTTTTTTTGGGTGTGATTCCCCCCGTGCGCAATAGAGGTGGATGTGGGAAACTTGTGGCATTGGGTGTGCGCCTTATGATGGGTAGAGTTGTGGATTTTAGTACGAGGTGTTTTGCAGAGCGAGGTAGTGAAATGCAAACACTTTGAATGAACTGATTCATCTCGTATATCGTGATGTTGTGGCCATGAGTACGTAAGTTTGCCATCCACATATATTGGAAACCGTTTTACCGTTGAATCAAATTGTCATGACTTGAATTGTACTTGTAACTGTATCGTACAGCGATATCTATACATCTCGCCCTTCTATCCCCCATGCGGGTATTGTTGTACATATCTCGAATCCAATCCCATCCCAGCAAAAGCAGCGCTTCCGACGCCCAAAATGCATAACCCTTCTTCTTCTTCTTCTTCTTCTTCTTCTTCGCTTTATGTGTACGCTCCTACTTTTGCTTCCTCGGCCCGGTCATGTACTTTTGCATTCGTGCGAGATGGTAGTTAATCGTATTCGTGCCCGCGGGGGGAGGAGCCGGACCGTCCATGCATTTGCGGAGCTGATTCTCTACTGCTGCGCAGCCCGTTGCGTTGTATCCTGCTGAGGCCCAGCATGCTGTGCCTTGTCAGTGACATGTCTCGAAACCAGGGATTTAATCGGGAATTGAGTCGTAGAGGAGGGGAATTTACCGAGAACGCTGGACATGATGGCGATGCAGGGATTCTCGACCTGGCGCTTGGGGTTGTGGACGCGCAGGGTCTTGAGAGGTGGAAGACGGATTGCTTTGTGTCGGCCGGTCATTTTGAAGGGGATTGTACGGGGGGATTGGATCGATTGATATGGCGATGGAGGTCGTGATGCGGTTATGGGAGGAGTGGAAAGTTTGGAAGGGGTCACGTGCTATGGAGATGGTGATAAGATTGGTGATAAGATAAGAGCTGTGCTGGAACGTGAAGTTGCGTGGATGAGCATCTTGAGATGAAGTGAGGTTCAAATAAGTTCTTTGATAAGCGATGTGTTGAATCTATCAGGCTGATTTCTTGGAGATCCCGCTGCTCTTATGTTGTCTGCGTAGACGGTGAGAATTAATGCCAGGCACAACTCCAACCCTGGACGCATGCATTCATCAACAACTGATACAGTACCAAGGCTGCAACGAGAATGACAGTCACTGCAACTATTCGCGTTACAGCATTTCTGTCAGGTATATTCTACAGAGGACATTAATAGCAAAATTGACACTCATAATTCTTCGGCATGACTAGAAGCGCCTATCGCTGACATCAATATTTGCATCCATCAACCACGGATATCAACATTCCCACTTATGACTGGCCCCTACAACACCCGTCTTGATATCAGGAAGACACATCCTCTTGTTTGCATGCGCTCTTATGCTTAGTCTTACGATGCATCATTACTCGCCACAAATGGATCGTCACGGACACAGCCACGGACATCTACTACCTTTCTACTCTTTGTGATGTCGGCCAACGTTTCGATACAGCACAACTTACGCAGTCGGTGTAACCTTAGTACCTTCCAATGATTATCACCCTTCAAGAATGGAAGGACTTGTACAGACACACGATTTCACCTTCACTCCTGCTGGCATCACAGCCTCTTTCCCAAATGTTGGGGGCCGCCTTCCGCCCGTTTCGCTCTTGATGAGAAGAGGGCCTTCCTGCCGTGCTTGGTTCTTTCCCTGACCATGGGACTGTGTGACTACCTTCAACTTGGCTCAGTGCAGCCAGGAAACCTCCGACATCATCCTTTCATCCTCATCATCACCCTCAAGCATCATTTTGCAAAGCCATCCATGGGCAGAACTAGACCCTCATCACGCTGAAAGACACCTGATTTTGATCCCATCTCATCAACAGCTTTATCTATATCTATATTCACGATGGAGAGTCCTAGTGAGTTGCGCTGCGTTCCTCATGCATCTACATGGTCATTTTGCTAACGGAATCTAGCATCCAATTCTGAGCATCACAAGCATCATGCTCATCACTCCCTCGAGGACGACAATCGACGGTCGTCAGACCGCAAGTCCATCGAATTCAGTTCACCTCTCGCCAAGCCGCCACTTGCAAGCCCACCTCCCAAAAATCTGAAAGGAGATGACCACAAAGATACCTTGGGGCCAGAGCGGAAGGAAGAGGAGCTTTTCAGTATGCCGCTCAAGAGCCTGAAAAGCGTGAGTGCACCGGTTATTTGCCCAGTTTGTGAAGTAAGGGCCATGACTATCACAGAGACGCGATCTGGTGGTTTCACTTTGTGAGTTTGCTCTTACCTTCCTTGACAAAGATCTGTTCCTGAGACAAATTTTCAGCGGTGCTGCCGGTCTCGTATGCCTTTTGTCCTGCGCTATCCTGGCATGGGTCCCCTTCTTCATCCCCGAAACCAAGGATGTTTTTCATCGGTGTGGCAATTGTAAAGTATATCTTGCTCAGTGGCACCGAGTAGGTCGCACTGAAATCCTCGCCTACCCAGGGGTGAACAAGGATGAGAACAAGGATGGAGAATAAGGATGAGGTCAGGATCGAGGATCAGTCGAGGGAAAGTCGCTTGCCTTGGAGTTCAATGGCAGAATGATATCCTGGGTCTCCTTACTACTTCCTTTGTTGTCGAGACTTTCTTTTCCCTCTAGTTCAGACATCGATAAGATTGCATCAATAACACATTTACATCGACCAGTGTTCTTTTAGCACTGATAATATTCATGTTCCTCGACTCCTATGCTGTGCACATCGCCGTTATTCATATCCCGCCAAGTTTGTTGTTACATATGTACAAGCCCTTGCATCATTAGACAACATCAAACTTCTCCTCGTCCAAGTCCATGCTTTCAGGGGCTGGCGCTCGAGCAACACTTCGTAGTGCTGCCCAGCCTGTCTTCACGACGGGCTGCTGAACGGGTTGCTTAGAGGGCTTTGGTGGTGGTGGTACAGATTCTGTTGGCTGAGGGGCAGCTTTTCGGCTTCTTTTAACCGGCTTTGGCTCCTGCTTAACCTCTTCTTGCTGTTCTTCTTCCTCCTCGCCCTCAGCTTGTTCATCGGCATCTTCGGCTTCTCCTTCTTCATCCTCCTCGTCCTCGTCTTCATCGTCACCACTGTCATCGTCATCATCATCGGACTCTCCTGAACCATCAGAGTCCGCATCGCTTCCAGGATCGTAGTCCTCCTCATCCTCGTCTTCTTCATCTTGTAGCGCTTGCTCAGCGTCCAGCTGCGCCTTTGCAAGTTCAGAAATGCCAGTTGCAGCTGGTGCGTCGTCTCCAGCCTCTTCGCCGTTCTTCTTGGGTCCGCGGTTCTCTGCGAGCTCTAGTTTGGCTTTTCGCTGCTCGGCCATACTGCGATCTTGGAGACGGTGCTTCTTGATGTAATCGTCGATTCCGCTATAGTCCTCCTGATCCAGCATGGAGAACTCAGCTTCTTCGGTCGCATCACCTTCGCCCGCAAAGACCTCGATTGCGATGTTGAATGTTCGTTGGAGAATGTTGGTGTAGCTTGTAGCGGCGATTCTGCTCAAGGGGATAAACATCATTGGCTTCTTGAAACCCCAGAGAATGCCGTTCTCGAGGAAGAAAAGGTATCCATCCTTGGAGCCCCTGAAGGCCTTGACATGCACGGCCTTCTCGCTTGGTCGATGGGGTTGTCGAACCATGCTCTGGAATTTGTTGGGGTCGGCTGAAGTAATGCTGACACCATTAGGCTTGAGATGACGGTTCAGAGCCCAGTGGAACAAAGACTTGTAGTTGTCCGAAACTGCAGCCGCGCTTCCAGCGTCAGGTCCACCTATCGTACCCTGCTTGGGCGGAGTCGCGGGAACCGTAAACACGAGTGGCTCTTCGGTCGGGGGGTTCGTCTTGGAAGGGAGACATGTTCCTCGTGGGAAAATGACATAGTTGTGCTGGACCTGGTTCTTTTCGGGTACGGGGAGGTAGAATACATATTCTGGCACAGGATTAGCATGGAGCACACAACAACAATGCGGTAACGCGTACCAATGTCAGACCACGCGTAGGTTATAGCTGGAATCGGTGCTGTTGTGTTTGGCGCGCGAGCGTAGATGTGGCCGTCGGTAAAACACAACTCAAACTTCTTCCTCTGGGGCACGGAAACTGAAATCTCCTTGATTTCGAGAAGGACAGTCTCGTCTGCGGCATTCGTTTCGGTCTTGACAGTCTTTGCACCATTCGCCGCTCCGTTTGTTTGAACATCAACTCTTCTCTTCTTATGTGCAGGCTCGCTTCCTCCATTTAACAACTGATCATAAACATGAGTTGCAATTTCGTTGAACAAAGCGATTCGACCAGGTGTATCTAGACTCCAGAGTTAGTATTTCGCGAATTACATCTTCAGGGGTATTGTTTACCAGCTGCTCTCTGAATCCCTTCAAGAATATCTGGCCGGGTTCCAAATACCGAACCCAGCTTCTCCGTATCGAGCGATTTGCCCATGACTGAATCCAATCGCCTTTCCTTGAATTGTATCACTGCTTTCAAAAAAGATTGGGGATTGAAAAATTGGGTGCAAGAGAATTGTTAGGAGTTGGCCGTGGCGATCGGATATGCAAAGGTCATCATATTTCCTACAAGTGCGATAAGATAGCGATTCATGACGGCGGGCGCTTATTAGTCAGGGACTGGCGCCAGTTTTGGCGGGTTACAGGCGCTGTTGTCAAACCTTTCAGGGGGTGCTCCGCCCTATCAGGTGCTGACGTCAAAGTTGGACGGGGCGCTTCCCCGCGATACCCAACCCAGCCCAGCCTTATTCACCGAACCTCGTGTGGTACGAGCCGTCAGGTGCCGTAGTAAACAAACAGTCTTTTTGTCTTACAATATTGTCGATTCTGAATCAAAATCATGGCGACTACGTTTCCGAACATCTACACGCTCCGCAAGGTTGCTGAGACAGCGGCCAAGGCATGCGATATCTGCTACAAGTCGAGCACCTCAGTGCTAATCACACCTGATCAAAAGGTATGCGGGATACTGACATAGAGAAGCAAATACAGCTGATCCCTTTGTAAGCTTAAACTTATGTGATTGGTATGGTAGGATTTCTTCTTTGTTTGTCCAGTCCACCTCAAGGATCGGTACTTTTGCACGCCCAAGATTGATGAGGAGGCTGCGAAGAGGAAGAGGGAGAAGGAGTTAGAGGAGGAGAAGGAGAGGGTTAAGAAGGAGTACGAGGAGAAGCAGAAGAAGAAGAAGGAGAAGGAAGAGAAGAAGGATAAAGAAAAGGATAAGAAGGAAAAGGATGGGGATAAGGAGAAAGACAAGGAGGAGAAGGAGGAGAAAAAGGATGAGGATAAGGTGAGTGCATATGCCAATTTGTCTTTGCATGACTGACTTTTGTAGGACAAGGAAGACAAAACCCCCCCTGCTGAGGAAGAGCCCCGTGTGTTTGAGCTGAAAACGTACGTTGTTTGTCAGTTTGCTTGTGGTGCAACGTGCTAACAGAAACAGGGCCTTTTACCAGCAAAGATTGTTGAAGAAGCGACAAGCCGAAGCGGCGAAAGCTGATCGGGAACGAGCGTCAAAGCCTGGGTATTTTCCCTCTGTGCCCTCTGATGCGCCCAGTCGATAACAGGAGACGGCACTGCTGGTGTTGGCATTGCAGGAGATCAGAGGTCTTTTTTTGTGTGGTGGCTATCTTTGACTGTCGTGTTAGGACGGCGATGTAGGTTTGACTTGGTGTATTCACATTTCGAAGCTCAGCAGCTCTTTTGTTTCACATTTTGATTCTACTGCACGCTCTCGGAGAATTCGTGGACGCCCGTCTAAGCGAGCGGAGAGGCAGAAAAGCCTCAGACATTGACCCTGAGTGATGAAGATATTTAGTTAAGTCTAGCCTGAGTTTAGTAGACTCTTTACTGAGTTCATTTTAGCCTCTCAAAGTCTTGAGTTTTCTTGCTCCTACATAGAGGGCAATGACCTTACCTCTGTAAAGAACTTCAGGGGTAGGAATAAGAGTGTGTCCCTTCTTCCAACATGCTATGGATGCCATTCTTTCTGCTTTAGGTAAAAGAGGAAAGAAACCCAAGTACCTCTATCCTAAATAACAAAAATCCTTAGGTAACTTGGCATAAGTTTAGGTAAGTTTAGGTAGGCAACTTCCATCAGCATAAGTTTGGAACACTCTCTTCTATTCCTACTCAAACCTTACATCCACACAGCATCTATCTACCTTTATTCTCATCGATACAATGCCCAGCATCTTTGGGAACGTTCGGTGCGATGGCTGCCAGGCAATGATCGAAGATTCAGAAACATCAGCGGTCCTGTTTTACTGCTCTAATTATCCTACCGGAGACTGGGGCCATCAGATTCTTGGTCGGTCGAGTAGACTAACGATCATGCAAAATACAAGATACACGTTCTTACATCGTCGCTGTTTCGATATATTCCAGATCATGCCCACTGGGCAACAACGATCGCAAGCCGAAATCAACTGCTTCAGGAGAGCTATTGGATGGCGCAAACTCGACTTCATGCGTATTTTCCCGGAAGGACTGGACATTCCGGGACTTCCCCGTGTCAGCCTGATAGCCGTTGCAAGGGCAGCGACATTTGCTCTTCAAAATCCACTCGTCCGCGAACTTTCTTACATCGAGGAACTTCTTGACATTGTTCGATCTTATTGTCCAGATGCCTACTTCTGGAATATGGTGCAGCTAATGGGCTTGAAAGGTTTTGCTTCTACGGGTAACCCCGTGATGGAGGATCTCTCCCGCGTTGAGAGTTGGAAGCGCCTCCAGCCTGCACCAGTTTGCGGGCGACCTCTAGAAGACCCCGATGGCCTGCTCATCAGTCTTGATTCGGACGGTATATGTGAGATTCAGAGACTTGGGAGTCATCCTCACCCACCAAACCACGATCCCCAGGTGAAGCTCAGGAAGTACGTTCTCGCCAACGAGAAAGACCTTGAGTCCGTCAAAGCCTACTTCTAGGTTAGTATTCCCATCCGTGGCATACTTTAGTTAATGGGTCACTAATGATATAGAATGGGCTCTGCTGTTTGACGGCAGGTCAGGACCACCCTGGTTTCCCGACTTGGGACACTCAAGAGCCACCAAAGGTACTCTACTATCCAAATGATGGGAGCCGCAAGCCCTTCTTGCAACTTGAGGGCTGTAGGATGTTAAATAATCAAGTTCCTCGAGCCACAGATATCCGGGTGATACGCCTCGACAAAATGACTGAGATGGATCTCACATTTATCTGCGGGCAAAGAACATCTTCTCTTTTAGGAGGTCCCTTCGCTGCGAGCCTTTTTCGAACAACGTATGCTAAGCATCGGGGCCGTGGTCCAATGGTGATTCCTGCTGCCTTACCACTGGATATTCCGGCAATTAAAGAAGAAACATTGTGCCTGGAGATCCGATTGAATGGGGACGGCTGCAGTGTGCTGCTTGAGACCCGATCGTTAGGCGTTGTACACGCAGGACTACAAGCGAAACCGACCAAGGACCCGAAAAAGAATCCATTTTCTTTGAGGTACCGTGTCACACGTCCACGGCTTTTGTTCCTCTGGAAAGGGCAAGGCGATGTGCTGAAACATACTGTTTCGTTTGCTATCTATCCCGAGGGAGTTGTACTCGCACCAAACCATGTTCCCATGGTCATCGGACCGCAGTTGTCATCATTCAGACCTGATTTTGCCTCTCACCAACCTGCCTGGTCATGGGCTCCCATAGAACACATCCGCAGCATCCTGGTACACGAACAAGATGGCCGAGGATTTATAGGAATGATGATACATTATGACAACGGGTCTCAGAGATTCATCGGCGACTTCGCACGGGCCGACGACGACGACGACGATATCAGATACCCAATATCCATTGAACCAATAAAGCACATGTATGTCGAGAGGTGGCCCCCTTCCGGCCAGTATACGAAGATACAAGTGCATTTTGGACCTCGCTGGCTCCGCCACAGCATGGATACGGAATTGGATGAATATGAATTTGTGGGCGAATTGCATTTCTGGTATGGGCCATGGATGGCTCCTGAATTAAGAGTCCTGCCGTCGGGTAGTTGGCATGCTGAGTAGTTGCTAATAGGATCACTTGAGAACAAAACTTGTTCCTATATCCCAGAGGAGAAGCATGAATAGAACTCCAGACCAGAGGAGCAAAGAAAGCTTAAGACTTCGACCCTAAATAATGAAGAGACTTAGGTACTCAGCAGTAGTGTAGTAAACTAAGTACAAGTTAAGTTACAGAATTCGCGTGGATCCTCGCATACCTTCAGAAAGATATGTCTTGTCACGCAAGGACTGATCCTGCCTTGGACTTAGTACCATGCTGGTGTTGAAGCCATATCGAAGCTCGGGGGAGTCTTTCTTCGCTGTGTCTACGCCGGCTTGGGCTATTACTAGGAATAACAAGACACAAGCAGAGAAGCTTGATGCGCTACACATCTACATGGGCGGAGTCGGACTCCAGCTGCGGGATAGCAACTTATTCTTTAATAACTCTCTTCTGTGCTACGAGGTCCCATGATGGGGAGATAAAAGACTCCTAAGCGATATATCGCCATCCATTTGGCCTTCTACCCACTGCAAAGCCTGGATAATCGATTGAACCAGGCAATGCTTCAAGTCCCCTCGCCGGCTTCCCTCACAGCCTGTCCTTCGGAGTTTATTTTAATACCCTATATCAAGTTCCAAAGGCTCGACAACTCCCATATCCTACACGGGAAGAAACGTTCCATATGAAGGCGAATGGGTGGTCTCAAGTAATGTCTCATATCTTTGATGCTTGTTACATCGACAATCTCGTTGCAACTCTGTGGCAACTCAGCTACTTTGCCGCTCTATAATTAACCTGGATGCATGCCAAACTCTTGGTAACAACTTAGTCAAGCGTCTCATATCAACTTGTCCCTCAGAATCCCCGTCCTTTGAGCCCTGATCTGCTCGTCCTCAATCCACTCTCCACAAACTGCAGAGATTTCTCAATTACACATCACATCACTTAGTTTGATTTCTTCATCATAACTGGCTTCCTATTCAGGCAAGTCAAGTCAAGCCATATCACGGATTTACCAGAGAACCGTAAACTCCGGCATCACGACGCTAGCCTTTTAACGTTCGGTTTCGTTGCGACGCAAGCCACAAGCGTAAAGGACATCCAATCCTGGCGTGCCATTATGCCGACGATTATGCCCTTTTATTGAAACAGCTGCATTGGTCTTCAAGTTTCCCATGCAGACCAACTACAAGATGATTGGTCTCAGCGTAGGGACTGCACACACACGCATCTCGCCCGATGCTAGTAAACACACGACATGGGATTCTTGTACTGATCTCGCATTCTCAACCGTCTGACAGGACAGGATAGCAACAAAAAAAAAAAAAAAGAGCCATGGGATGTGACCCTCAGGGTGCGGGGCGTCTGAGCTACTTAGTGCTTACATCTTTGGGCTTGGAAAACAAGAGCTGGAAGAGC